TGTAAGCTCCAGAAACTATAAATGGGTGAAGTCGACTGGTGTGTGAAATGACTGGGGAAAGTGGGAGCTACAGGAACTGAAAAGTGTGCACCTCTTATTCAAGAATTCAAAACCAAATGCTTCAAAATCCTGTGCTGGTCACATAAACAAGTCCCATGAGTCACCAGTTTGCAGCCTCTGGTACAGGTTCATCTCTGTTATAAAACAGATGTAAAAATCCTAAATAAAATACTAGCAAGTTAAATTCAACCTACACTACAACTTTTTAAAAACCTACTAAGACCAAGTTACATTTACTCTAAGGGATGCAAAAACGTTTTAATATGTGGAAATTATTTAAAAAATAATCCATCATCTCACATTGAAAAAACCTATATGATCATTTCAATAGATGTTGGAACTTAATACCTGACAAAGGGAGGCCCAGGAATCCAGAGCCGGGTTGGGTGTGAGCTGGCAAAGGATGTCCCAAATGCTGCACGTAGGGGTAAAGCCAGGCCCAGGCCCAGAAGACAGACAGCCCAGTGAAGTGTCGATCCAAAGAACTGGACACAGAAGCAGAAATTAGATAAAGGCAAGAAGACAGGGCCTGCGGAGATGCTTGGGAAGCACAGCCTGGGGACTTGACTGCAGGAGCCTCGCTGTCATCTGTTCCTGAGCCAAGTTTGGACTCTAGCTGCTGAAAGCACTGGAGACCTTTGAAAACATTCAGCACTCACATATCATAATATTTCTCCCAAAACTAAGGTCCAAGGATAATGTCGTCACATGAGAAAGGCCACATCACAGAAGCAGCCCACTTAAAACTACAAAATGCTTTCCCACTCTGATTTTCTGAGGAGCCATTTTGTAGTTTCAAGACTTCCTACAATAAAAGAAAATGAAGTACAGTGGAAGTTATAGGGGAACCTGAGGGAAGAGGAGACAGTGGGGAGCAATGAGCCTTGCATTTTATATGGTCAAATCTAAATCAATCAAGGCATGTTATACCTCAATAACCAATTTATTCTATTTTTTAAATTTTTTTTAAATTTTTTAATTTTTGGCTGCGTTGGGTCTTCACTGCTGCCTGCTGGCTTTCTCTAGTTGCAGTGAGCGGGTGCTACTCTTTGTTGTGGTGCGCGGGCTTTTCATTATGGTGGCTTCTCTTGTTGTGGAGCACAGGCTCTAGGCACGCGGGCTTTAGTGGTTGTGGCACGCGGGCTTCAGTAGTTGTGGCTTGCGGGCTCTAGAGCGCAGGCTCAGTAGTTGTGGCACACGGGCTTAGTTGCTCCGCGGCACGTGGGATCTTCCCAGACCAGGGCTCGAACCCGTGTCTCCTGCATTGACAGGCGGACTCTTAATCACTGTGCCACCAGGGAAGTCCTAATTTTTAATTTTTAAATTTTTTTGGCTGCACCGCATGGCTTGTGGAATCCTAGTTCCCTGGGCCCCCCGCAGTGAAAGCATGGAGTCCTAACCACTGGACCACCAGGGAATTCCCAATAACCAATTCATTTTTAAAAATAGTAAAATCTAAGTGGGTACTGATAGAGTGACAGGGAATAAGTACTAAGTCAGGACTCCACACCTCTACCTCGTACCATACACACAGAAAATTTCAGATGGATTACAGACTTAAATGTAAGATGTAAAATAAATATTGTAGGAGAAAATATATGAGACCATATACCTCATCAAGGATCAGGGAGATCTACCTAACCAGAAGAGAAAATGAGAAGACATAAAACAAGAGGAACATAATTGATTCCAAAAAAAGTTAAAAATGTTTAAAAGACCTTAAAAAGTCAAAATGCAGTGATAAATTGAAGAAAACTTTCAATTTCAAAAGGATGAAAAAAAGTCTTAAAATTGACAAGAAAAAGACAAATAATGCAATAGCAATAGATAAACTCATGAAGAGGCAATTCTGGGAAAAGAAAACCCAGTCAGGAAACCAACTGAGACACTCCCCAGCAGAAAATCACAAATTAAAAACCAAGGCATTCACTTCTCACCTATCAGATCAGCAGGAATTCAACGGTGATAACAACTGCTGTTGGAAGGGATGCAGGAAAACCATACTCTCATACATTGCTGTCAGCAAATTTGAATTGTCTTTGAAAACACAATCTGGCAATAGCTATTACCATGTAAAATTCCCCTTTCCCCAGTAATCCCATTCCTGGGAAACTCTACCACAGAAACGAACACATTAGTGCATAGGGATAAGTGTAGAACCACGTTATGATAGCCTTGTGGTAGTCACAAAAACTGGAAACCAAGTGAATGCCCATTCAAGAAAGGAGTGGCATACTATGCAGCCATTAAAAAAGAATGGGTTTAAAAAAAAAAAAAAAAAAAAAAGAATGGGTTAGACCTGTCCCATCTGTTCTGGGGGAATTTCTACTATGTGTTTATGGTCAAGGGAGAAAAGCAAGATACAGAGTGTATGTAAATAAAAAACCCATGTGTGTGTGTGTGTGTGTGTGTGAGAATTGTTACAAAGGTGGAAGGAAGAAAGGAAAGAAGGAAGGTAGGAAGGAAGCCAGACTGTTAACATGGAAGGGAAGGGGAGAGAAATACTTAAAAGTAAGTTTGTATATTTAAAAACCATGTGTGTAATGTGATGCCGTCCATGCAAAATCTATACACATAAAGAGATGGGGAAAGGATCATCACCAAAATATTAATGATGATTATCTCAGGGAGTGGGATTGCAGGTGACTTTTGCTTTTTTCCTTATTTTTCCCCTATGTTTTAAATGTTATATAATGAGTATATATTATTTATACAATCAGTGGAAAATCAAGTTATTTTCATTGTTGGGTGCAGGGGAGTATGGGCAGGTAGACAGCCCCTGGGGGACCTGATTTAATGAGCACACAAGATCAATATTTAATTAACATATCAATCGCTGGCATGCCAACCGATGTTTTTCCAAAATCTTGAAGTGTAGTTTCTCTTAAGTAGCCAAACTGTCATCTGAAACATTGTTTACAATTCTCCCACTTAACTAACGCTGAAGAACACAATGATTACAAATACAAAGGGGCAGGAGATGATTAAAGGAGGTTTTATTTAAGTGCCATCAAATAACTGCATCTCCTGTACTCATCACAGCTTAGAATTTCCTCATTAAGCTTATCTCCAGGCACCTTCCAAACCCTTTTATCATCACTTTCAAGCTTTTTCTTTTCTTTTTTCTTTTTTAACCATTTTTTTCCAGACGTCTGTGTAGTGATTCTTAAAATCTTCATTATAAATTTTCAACCTTCGCTTTGCTCTTTTTATTGCTTCCTTCTCACGGAGCTTGGCTTCACTGCTGGGGATGCACCTGGCTATGCTGGGCACTGCTCTCCCTCTTCTCCCCTTCCCTCTCTCAGTAGGCCTGCCAGGTTCGGGGGAGGGCTGCAGAGGTTCAGGCCTTGTCTATGGCGGTGCCTGAACACAGCAGCCTCTCCAAAAATGTTAGGATCAGCTCATGGAACAGGAAGTTGGGCTTCATTTGATCTTTCTTTCGCAACATTTACTGAGCATTGCTGGGTGTCCATTACCGGGCCAAGGATGCGAAGGTGAAGAAGGCATGATTCCAGAGAAATCACAACCAGATATGCAGACAGTGCTGGGTAAGCACTTTGGAGGATGCCACCGATGGGAAGGGGGAGAGGAGCAGGGGAGCAACTGCTAGGGCTGGGCACAGCCAACGGCACGCGCAAAAGTCTGGTGGTTCTCCAAGTGTGTTCCCAGACTAGTAGCATCAGCATTACCTGGTCACTTGTTGAAAATTCTAATTCTCGGGCCCCACTCTTGACCTACCAAGCAGAAACTCTGGGAGTAGGGACCAGCAATCTGTTTTATTAAGTCATGCGGGTGATTCTGACATACCCTAGAGTTCGGTAACCACGGCTCTAGTTGAGGTCTGAGGATGCCTAGGATACGAGGGAGAACAGAGAGGAACCAAGGCTTTGTGAAGGGCCTCAGATGCCAGTCAAAGGAGTTAGACTTTGCCCCGTAGGTGCGGCCTCCATGGTTTTTAAGCAGTGCTTGTGGCACTTAGACAATCTCTCCCAACTCGGCGTTTCTGGGAGCTCTAGCATTCCCTGCTTGCACGAGGGCGGAGAGCCAGCTGATTTCTGCGGGGCTGAGTCCCCCACCCCCACCCCCGACCCCAGGCGGCGAGCCAGAGAGAGGTCGGCTGCAGACCTCTCTGCCCCCTGGTTCCATGGGCTTGCCGTCCAGGAGGAGGTAAGCACACGCAGAAGCTGGGGCACTGACCAAGACGGGGAAGGGACAACCCGGGAAGCGGACCCGGCGCGAGAGGCCAGCAAACCTCCCGACGCGCTGCGCAGCGGGGACCAACAGCTCTGTAGGCCCAGGCTCCGCCCCTGGCCCACCGGGCGCGGCGTTTTGGGCCTGCGGGCCCCGCCCCCCGCCCCGCCCCGGCGCGCGCCAGGCGCTCCTCCCTTGAGGGAAGCCGTCTCTGCCCGCGCCCGTGCGCGCGCCCGCGGCCGGGTTGCAGGGCTGGGCGCGCGCCCCTCGTCCCGGGCAGGAAGATGGTGGCGAGCGTGCGGGTGCAGAAGCTTGTGCGGCGCTACAAGCTGGCGATTGCCACGGCGCTGGCCATTCTACTGCTGCAGGGCCTGGTGGTGTGGAGCTTCAGCGTCCTGGAGGACGACGAGCCGGGCGAGGTGCTCCGACGGCCGGGCGGGCAGGCGGGCAGGCCGGGCGCGGGGGCGCGCGGGGTCCTGGCGGGGATGCGGGCGGCCCTGGCCGGGGAAGTGGGGCACTGGCCGTTTGCGTGTCGCGCGCGGGCGGCCGCCTGGCTCGGGGCCTCGGACCCCTGTGGCCCGGTTCACAGGCGGGCCCGGGGGCCTACGCGCGGGGGCTGTGCGTGACCCGGAGGACCGGGCCGCGGGCCGGCAGGGGCGCGGGGCGGGAGGAGGGGGTCGTGGTGGGGTGGTCTGCACCCCGGGGAGCAGTGAAGGTCAGGCGCGGGTGCGGGGGAAGCGGGGCCGGGAGGCGGGGCAGGGCCCGAGCCTACTCGGAGGTGGGGAACCCCAGGCCAAACTTTCTGAAGTTGGGAGGGGGCGGGAGTGTGCGCGCCGTGGGCGGAGGACTGGGGCCGAGGGACCCCGAGCAACCGCGCCCAGCCGCCCCTCAGGGGCAGTAGCCAGTGAAGAAGTGGAGCCTGGGGGTGGAACTCAGTGTGGCAACTGAGGAGAGGGAGAGTGACCCCGAGGGAGAGAACTGGAGTGTCCCTGAGACGTGGCTTCCTCAGCCAAGGGTCTGAAGAACCTGCATGGGTCTTCAGGAGAGGATGGCAGGGGAATTGAGCTGCTGAGGGGGCCCCAGGACATTAGGGAATTGGGGACTCGCCCCCTCTGACTCTAAGGGAATGGGGACAGCAGCAGCTGGTTTAGCAGAACCCCAGGCCCTGGAGCAGGGGCAAACCCTGCTTAATCCCCAGGTCCTTGCTCTGAGGGTCTCACTCACTCATGGCTGATGTGGTTTCAGCTGGAGGCCCAGACATGCCTTCCCCAGTGTGGTCAGGAGGGTCCAGTGGTGTCTGAGACCATCGTGGAAGGTTGGCGAGGATAGGCCAAACCCTGGCCCTAAGCTGTGGGCCAGATGACAGGGCTTCCCTGCCCCCACCCCTTGGTTCTCGAGCCTCTAGGGCTTTGAGTCAGACACTCTGCTTGCCCCGTCCTCTTGGGCCTCTCCACCTGGCAGGGTGAAGGCCAAGGGAGCCCTGATGTCCTCTTCCCCTTCCTGCTGTGGGCAGTCTGGAAGGCCTGGTGTGGAGACTGGGAGAATTGCTGCTTTCGCCTGTTTTGGGGAGAACAAGAGACTAGGATGGTGAAGGGAGCTGGGACAGAGTCACATGAGACCATAACTCCAAAAGGAGCTGAGGTTGGGGTTGGGGGAGGCTGGCTCTGTGACATCCGAAGGGTGTGAGCTTGTTCTTTGTGGTCCAGTAAGTAGCAGGAAGGGGAAGAGAGTGTATGAAGATTTTTTGGGCAGATGAGACATTCTAAGATGGAAAGGGCTGCCAAGGAGTTAGGGACCCTCTGACCCTGGAATATGTGAGCAGAGGCCAGTGAGCGCTCTGGCGAGGGGCATGGCAGAGCGTCAGAGGCTTCCCAGAGACAAATCTCTGGATGGGATGAGAGATTGTCCAGGCCTCAAGGCCCTTGCTGCCCTACCTCCAGCCTGGGGTGGAGAACTGGTGCAGTAGAGTGCTTGGGATCCTGCCTCCCCACCTCCTCCTCCAGCTTCCTAGCAGAATCTGATAGGGGAATCCCTGGACTAGAATGGGGAAAAGATCCTTGATGACCTAAAGGCTGTGTAGTCCAAGCAGCCCTTGGGGCTCGGACCCCTTCAGCAGCCACCTCAGTTGGACCATGCCACTTCGCCATCCTGTGTCCTATTCCAGCCCTGCTACTGGTAAGTGGTGTGACCCCTGGCAAATCGCCTAACCTCTTTTTCATCCTCATCAGTGTCTGCGCCCCAAGGATGGGGGCAATAATAGCACCTCCCTCGTTGGGTGATACCTGTGAAGTATTTGCAGGAGTTGCTGGCCGTGCTAAATCATCAGTAAATAACTCTTATTATTATTTCAATACTGCACAGTGGTAACAAGGATTCATTCAGTCAGTCAGTCATTCAACAAATATTTATTAAGTCCTCCTTCATACCAGGCACTGTGCTAATACTGGGGATACAGAAAGAAATATAACAGACGAGGTCTCAGCCCTCGTGGGCAGACAGGGAGAGACTGACAGTGAAAAGGAAACAATAACAAGAGGGCTGGTTTAGATAGGTGGTTGGGGAAGGCTTCTGCAGGAATTGGCCTGTGAGCTGAAAGACCCAGTCAGCCTGGGGAAGAGGTAGGCAGAGTTCAGGAAGAAGGCCCTGAGGAGAATGGGCTTAGCTGGGTGCCTTCAAGGAATGGAAAGGAGGGTGTGGTGCGATCCCTGGAAGAAGGTTCAAGAGTTAGTCCAGGGCACATCCTAGAGACCACAGTGAGGGGCTGGGGTTTTATTCTAAGTGGCTCTAAACTAAAGGGGTCTAAGCAGCGATGGGTGAGATGTGCATTTAAGAGGCACACTCTGCCCATCTGTGAGGGCTAGACTGGAGACCAGAGATGGCCGTTAACATCCAAAGAGCCATTTTACGGTTTTCAAAGCTTTTACAAACATTGTCTCACCGCTTACTTTATGTACACATTTAGGTTTATTGTAACAAAGCAACTTGTACACTTTTTTTTTTTTAATTTATTTTTGGCTGTGTTGGGTCTTCGTTTCTGTGCGAGGGCTTTCTCTAGTTGCGGCAAGCGGGGGCCACTCTTCATGGTGGTGCGCGGGCCTCTCACTATCGCAGCCTCTCTTGTTGCGGAGCACAGGCTCCAGACGCGCAGGCTCAGTAGTTGTGGCTCACGGGCCCGGTTGCTCCGCGGCATGTGGGATCTTCCCAGACCACGGCTCAAACCCGTGTCCCCTGCATTGGCAGGCGGATTCTCAACCACTGTGCCACCAAGAAAGCCCGCGACCTGTACACTTTTAACGTTTAAAACCGAGCATCATCTTTCCTTTCCAGTGAAACAAAAAGAAAAATTTTAAAATAAACAGGAACAGGGTTTCCCTGGTGGCGCAGTGGTTGGGGGTCCGCCTGCCGATGCGGGGGACGCGGGTTCGTGCCCCGGTCCGGGAGGATCCCGCATGCCGTGGAGCGGCTGGGCCCGTGAGCCATGGCCGCTGAGCCTGCGCGTCCGGAGCCTGTGCTCCGCGACGGGAGAGGCCGCGGCGGTGGAGAGGCCCGCGTACCAAAAATAAATAAATAAATAAACAGGAACAAAATTACAATAGAGAATGTCAATTGCAAATAAGATCCTACAGGTTCGGCTGATTCTCCCATCCGGTGGCAGGGCTCAAGTCATCATTAGGAGAGAATTTTATTTTAAAAGTGTCATCTTAAACTGCAAGGATGTCCGTTAAACATCACAATTAAACATGCCAAAGGAGAAGCCATGTTGTCAAAATGCCCACTTAACCCACCCAAACATCTCAAACCCACCCTTTGCTGACCTTCTATAACCCCATTTTTTAAAGTTTTTTTTTCCTTTTTTTAAACAAGAGAAAGTAGACAGATACATGTTGGTAAATGCTAACTGTCCATATTCACATAGAGACACAGTGTAATCTCTGAGCCCAATATACAGAGAAAGGAGGAAAAAAGCTAGAATTCTATGCACGACTACACAGGGGCCTCGCACCCTCCAGCTTCCAGCAGAGCTAAGGGAGCAGAAGGTTTTTCTTTTTTCCCACAGAGCATGGTAGTGTTGATTCCATAAAGTTTTTGTTGAGACAGGAAGGGATAAAAATGAATTTGGAACAGAAAGGGGTAGAGATTCTTTTCCCACTGAATTCTGCTCAAGGTATTTCCCCCCAAAATAAGGTGTGAGCCATGGTATAAAGGAGAAAAGAGACCTCAGAAACAGGGCAACTGAGCACAAGAGGAGAAGGAGGAAAAAAAAAAAAAAAAAAGACTGCCGCTTGCTCCCAGGGACTGGAGAAAATTAAAAAAGGAGGGTTGGAATCCACCAGTGTTCCATTAGTCACCTTCTCCTTCATCTTCCTCTCCTTCCTCCCCCTCATCTTCATCTTCTTCACCTTCATCCTCATCCCCTTCTTCATCAATATCTTCCAGTCCTTCTTCCTCCTCCTCCTCCTCATCTTCTCCTTCCCCTTCCTCGTCATCCGGGTCCGGAACCAAGCAGTACTGTGATGGATTTGGCCAAATATCATCTTTGATGACCTCTCCTAACTCATCTGTACCTTTTGGGATTTCCATTTGATTTCAGTGGACTTTGAAGATGGATCACCACCCTCATTCAGATGAAATTCTTTGGAGAGAACTTTCTTTTCAAAGTAAGGGTTTTCATCAAAATAAAAATCTATTCTGTAACCTGATTTAATATCTTCAAATTCTGTCCCTTCGACTCTTGTCAAATAATGCAGCGCCTCTTCGTCCTCCTCCCCGAGCAGTGCAGACACTTGTGGGTGGTTGACAAATGTTGTTACCCCCAAATTTGGGATTTGGGCGATCAATTCCGACCTTTTCTGAAAAAATGGTTGGCGGAGTTTGTTATATTTCTGTTCTACGTTCAAAATCTCCTCACTGGCTTGTTCGTTAAGTCTGTCTATTTCATTTTGTACTTCATCAATCTGTTCAGTTGCTTCTTGCTGTTCTTTTTGGAGGGGAGGCGGCGGCGGCGGGCGGGCAGGCCGCTCAGCTCCCTCACTCATGCTCCGCGCTCCAGCTCGCTGCTCCGTCCCTCACCGCTTACTTTAAACGCTCTGAGAAGTCCAAGGTGGTGGGGTGTGGGGTAAGCATTGCTGTATTCTCTGTCTCCGTGGCCCAGAGAAGGATTCCAAGGAGAAGCTGCAGAGCTAGGAAATGTCAGAGGACTTTGAATTCCTCCTCAGTGGGGAGAGGGGGCCTCGGAGGCCAGACTGCCTCCAGGCAGGTGTCTCAGGGCCAGTCCCCATCCTCAGTAATTAGAGGGGACTCTGACCTCAGGGGCGACCGGGGTCAGCTCCTCTAGGGGCACAAATATGGGCCCTGCTGCTGCGCATATAGACATTCTTGGGGTGTTTATATGTGGTGGGGGCTGGCTGCCCACCAGGAGCCCCCCTCCCAGTTCTCACTGCGGCCTTCTGGTCTCCCAGCCCCCTCTGGGATCGTTCTTCTCAGGGTCAGCCAGCTCCCTGCTGCAGTGCAGGGCGCCAACATGCCCATCTCCTCCCACATCCTATCCCCCACCACAGCGAGCCTGGCCCTGTGCCCTGCCGCCCCGACCAGCTTCCTCACTCGCTGATACTGACTTCCGTCTTGAGACCCCACAGCTCCTCTGCCATCTCCACCCACCTAAGCTTGAGAATGTCTTCCTCTGACCGCTGTGTGGCCAGGTCCGACATCACCAGGTTGATGTATGCTCAGTTCAGTGGGGCTGCAGCCACCTTTCCTGAGGGCTTTCCAGTCCAGGGTGCCCTCCCCAATGTGGGTAACAGATTGGGATCTGCTGCCTCCCCCCCACCTGCCCTCCCCTTTGCAGATATCTCTTCTCAGATGGAGGTAGACACCCCTGGCTCTCACTGGGCACCTCCCAGGAGGGCTGGTTGGGGTGCCAGGGTAGGGGTGGGGCCCTGGCCCTAAGGCAGTCGCTGTGCTCTGACAGAGGAGGAGAGGGAGGTCCTAGGGAGGGGAGGGACAGGGAAAACTCAAACCGATGGTCCAAAGTATCTGAAGGCCTTTGCTTCTCTCCTAACTTCACTTTTGTCTCTTTCCTGTTCTCCTTCCATTAATAATAATAGTAAGGATGACAGCATTTACTGAATGCTGAGCCTATGCCAAGAGCTTTTCATTCATTCACTCATTCATAAATTCATTCATTCAACAAATATTTATTGAGGGAATTCCCTGGTGGTCCATTGGTTAGGACTCTGCACTTCCACTGCTGAGGGCACGGGTTTGATCCCTGGTGGGGGAGCTAGGATCCCACAAGCTGCACGGCACGGCCAAAAACTTTTTAAAAAGAAAATATACATATATATATATCGTGTCTCCCATTGCCAGACATTCTTCTGGGCTCTAGGAATACATCACTGAACAAAACAACAAACAGCTTTGTCCTCATGGACATTACATTCTTGTAAGGGGAGAGACACAGAATAACACAATATACATTTATACATGTAAATACATTATAGGATGAGAGAAGGTAATAAGTGCTATGGGAGCAACAAAGTGGAGGCTGAGGGAGAGCTGGAGTTAAATACAGTGGACAGGGTGGCCTTCCTGAGAAGATGCCACCTGAGCAAGGAATTGGAGGCAGGGGCTGTGGGGACATCTAGGGGAGAGCATTCCAGGCACAGGGGACAGTGAATCCAGGTGGGACGGAAGGACGCTGAGAAGGCCATCAAGGCTGGAGCATGAGAGGGTGGTGGGTGAGGTCAGGAAGGGTGGAGCAGAGGTGGGGGAGCCAGAGACAGCTCGCGTAGCCTTCGTAGGTTCACGGGCTTTGTCCTCAGAGGGGGAACCATGGGTGGTTTCAAGCAGAGGAGTGGGGACCTGGGACCTGTTTTAAAGGAAACATTGGCTGCTGTGATGAGAGTGGACTATAGGAGGCCGGAGTAAGAGCAGGGGGCTTCCAGGCAGGGGTGGTAGCGATGGAGGCAGTGAGAAGCGGTCCAATTCTGGATGTACTTTGAAGGGAGCCCCGACAGGAGGTACTGATGATGGAGTGTGAGGGAAACAAGAGTGGAAGTGACGCCCCTAAGTTTTTGGCCTGAGAGACTTGAAGGATGGAGAGGTCATTAACTGATATGGGGAAGACTGAAGAAGGAGCCTACTGGGGGAAGATCAGAAGTTCACTTTTGGATTTGTGGGTTGACAGGTCTAGCAAGCTCCCAAGGGAGGCATCAAGGAGGCCGACAGTTAGACATTTGAAGGTTCAAGGGAGCGCTCCAGACCAGAGAGAGAAGTCTGGGAGTGGATGGAGTTAGGAGACTGAATGAGGTCACCTGGGGACCTAGGACAAGGCAAGGCCCCAGGGTGGCCTTGGGAGATAAGGAAGGGTCGGCCAAGAAGACTGATAAGGAGCGGCCACGGAGGCCCACCAGGGAAACACTAGGAGGGCATCCCGGAAGTGGAGGGAGGGGGGCTTCCGAGGCTGTGGTCCAGTGAGTCACGCCGCTGGAAGGCCAGGCCGGAAGAGGACTCGTACAGAGTGTTGAGAGAGGAAGGGGACAGCTGGTGGCGCCACCTTTCTAGCTGCACTGCCTCATGCTCTATCTCATTGGACACTCACACTTCCCTCCTGTATTTTAAAGCTGAGGGAACCTGCTCAGAGAAGGTAGGTAACTGTGGGGGAGTGGCAGAGCTGGGCAGGGAGCTCTGGTGACTTCAGAGTAGTCACGCAGTGCCTTTCCCTCCTCCATCCTTTCCGTGTTTCATCCGCCTGACACCAGCGAGACATCCTATGTGCCAGCTACTCCCCCGGGAACTGGGGTAATGGGGCTGAAATGACAGCCTCTCCCCAAGGGGTTGGTTGGGTAGAAGAACGTCCCACCCCGGGGCAAACGGGATGGCTTCACACAAGGAGACTCAGGGCTGGATCTTGAAGGATGGATGGGATTTGGTCAGGCAGGGAAGGGGGGGGGGGGGGTGCGTCACAAAAGGGGGACAGGGAGAGCTGGGAAGAGGGTGGGTATACGCACTTTCGAGTGTGACCGGACCATTAGGGAAGTGCCTGGGTTTGAGAAGAGGCTGTAGGAGCCAGGAAGCGGGGGTGGAGATATTGAGGCCAGCATTCAGCTTTCCCTTCGAGAGAGACCCTGCCACAAGGAGCAGTGAGTTGCCAGCCTGCAGCTGCAGGGGCCTTCAGGCTCTGCCTCAGCCGTCCAGCCATGGCCAGGCACCTCCTGGGCCACCCCCAGCAGTGGTACCGCGGCTCCCATCTCTGGGCCGTCTTTGCCCTGGAGCTTCCCACTAGGTGGTCGAGGCCCTCTCCAAGCCGAGCTGTCGTCTGAAGCTCTTCCTTCCCCCTCTTTGCACAGGTGTGAGGCCGGCTTGGCTATCTGAAGGCTTTCCCTGCTGCTTCCTGCTCCTGCTTCCTCATCTTCCAGAGTGTGACCCCCCCACCCCCCAGTGAATCCCTTGCACTCTGACTCTCTCTTGGTCTCTGCTTCCCAGAGAACCTGACCAGTAACGGGGTCTCAGATTTCACCTCTGTCCTCCCCACCAGGCAAGACCCCTTTGCCCTGTTATGGCCTCAGCACTCCCACGCGGAAATACTGTAGTCAGTAGAATGCTCTCCTGAAGAGCACCGTCTCCTCCCAGTCGGGCCCGGGTGGGAGTGCTAGGTGGACACTCCTGTCTGCAGGGTCTTTGCATGTTTCTCTTAGGATATATGTGGATATTCGTTTTCATAGTTGCCGAAAAAGAAAGTGTTGTCTGAATCCAAAGCACAAGAGAGATTCAGTGCCCTGTGATCTGTGTGATCGTGGGGACGCGGGCGCGACGGTGCCTTCGGGGAGGGCGACATTTCCTCCGCTGGCTGGTCAGGGAGGCCTCCCAGCAGAAGTGCTCTTTGTGCAGAGTCCTCAGGCAAGCAGTACTTTTCTAGATCAAGGGTGGCAGGGGCTTCCAGGCCTGAGGCCCAGCAGGAAGCTGAAGGAGCTGGAGGAGAGTGACTGTCCCAGTGACTTGTGTCCGCCTATCTTTTACAGAAAGGAAGGCAGAAGAAGCCACGGCCGCTAGACCCCGGTGAGGGCTCCAAGGACACAGACAGTTCAGCTGGGCGGCGGGGCGGCGCGGGCAGAAAGCATGGGCGCTGGCGGGGCCGTGCTGAGAGCCCCGGCATGCCCGTGGCCAAGGTGGTACGGGCAGTAACCAGCCGGCACAGAACCAGCCGGCGGATCCCCCCCACCCCGCCCCCAGAGGCCCCAGGCCGCCAGAACCTGAGTGGGGCAGCGGCCGGGGAGGCGCTGGCTGGGGCGGCTGGCTTCCCACATGGAGACACAGGGAGTGTGGAGGGCGCCCCCCAGCCCACAGACAACAGCTTCACGCCCAAGTGCGAGATCGTGGGCAAGGATGCTCTGTCTGCACTGGCCCGGGCCAGCTCCAAGCAGTGCCAGCAGGAGATTGCCAACGTGGTGTGCCTGCACCAGGCCGGGAGCCTCATGCCCAAGGCTGTGCCCCGGCACTGCCAGCGGGCTGGTAAGAGACAGGCATGGGCAGAGAGGTGGCAGCCCGGGAGGGGGCATGGCAGGGATCCTCATCTCCGTTTCTCAGGGATGAAAGCTCAGAGGGGCGCACCTTGCTGCCCGGGTTGGGTGACGAGCGTACTAAGTGGCAGAGGTGGAGCTGGGGCCTAGGAGCAGTGGGCTCTAAGTGCAGGCCTCCTCCTTCGGAGGGCAGGCAGCCCCCTCTTCCCGTCTTGTCTCCACCCTGTGACCTGGGGCCAGACCTCACCGATGCCCCTGTTCTCTACTCTCAGGGAAGATGAGCCCCGGCATCCAGTGGGACGACGTTCGGGCCCAGCAGCCTGTGGATGGCCCCCCAGTACGAATCGCCTACATGCTGGTGGTCCACGGCCGCGCCATCCGCCAGCTGAAGCGTCTCCTCAAGGCTGTCTACCACGAGCAGCACTTCTTCTACATCCACGTGGACAAGGTACGTACTGTGGCCGGGGAGACCAAGGGCATCTGCGTAAGTAGAGCAGAGACTCAGCAGGTCATAGACAGACAGTGTCTCTGACCTGCTCGGGTGGCCCAGAGATAGGGGAACAGGAAATGGGGGAGCAGCCAGCACCAGGTGACATGGCTGCTTCAGAGCTGGAGCCCTGGCCTGTGCCCTCTCCATTCTGTGACACTTGTACTCTGCTCTGGGGTGGGGCGGAGTGGGAAGGTTGTAATGCTGGGGATCCATCTTCCACTGCTGAGTTTCCACCGCCACCTCCCCACTTCCCACAGCGCTCCAACTACCTGCACCGAGAGGTGGTAGAGCTGGCCCGGCAGTATGATAACGTGCGGGTGACGCCCTGGCGCATGGTCACCATCTGGGGCGGGGCCAGCCTGCTGAGGATGTACCTGCGGAGCATGCAGGACCTGCTGGAGGTGCCTGACTGGGCCTGGGACTTCTTCATCAACCTCAGTGCCACTGACTACCCGACCAGGTGTGGGGTGGTGCTATGAGCCCTGCAGATGGGAGGGGGGCACGTCGAGGCACTCGGGGTTCAAGGGTCCTGATGGACTCCTTCCCTCCCCCAAGCCTCATTCTGGGATCTGCATAGCTCAGACATGGTCCCTTGGCCCCAGCAATATTTTAGAGGAGGAGCTGGTGAAAGATGATGTGAGGATTGAGAGTGACAAGAGGTGGGAAGGAGGAGGACCCAGAGGTCTGTACCGGGGGTCATGGGTCAGACAGCAAGGGGTGGAAGAAGGATGGGGTGGTCTTCCTCAGGGGCCTCAGATGCCCACCACCCCAGAGCATCAACCTGGAGTAGGTCACTTGGTCAGGACGACTCTCAGTGAGAAAGGAAGGGGCCAAGGAGTAAAGTCACTCTGGGCCAGTGACTGAGCCACTCTCACACACGCTCCCCACATCCCATTTCCTCTCCAGGACCAACGAGGAGCTGGTAGCTTTCCTGTCCAAGAACCGGGACAAGAATTTCCTCAAGTCGCATGGCCGGGACAACTCCAGGTGAGGGGCCGGGGGAGGAGGCCCTGGTCCTGGGGTCTTGCCACAAGCCCTCCCACACAGGGGGGCTCTGCAGCCCCAGCCTTGGGTTGCAAAACCTCCAAACCAATCACAGATTAAGGAGCGCTAGTTCCTGGAAGGATGACGGCCTGGATCCCACCCTGCAAAACCCTCAGCCACGGGCCCATCTGCCTCCCACAGGTTCATCAAGAAACAGGGCCTGGACCGGCTCTTCCACGAGTGCGATTCGCACATGTGGCGTCTGGGCGAGCGGCAGATCCCAGCGGGCATCGTGGTGGATGGCGGCTCTGACTGGTTCGTGCTAACGCGCAGCTTTGTGGAGTATGTGGTGTACACGGACGACCCACTTGTGGCCCAGCTACGTCAGTTCTACACGTACACGCTGCTCCCAGCCGAGGTGGGTGGCCGGGCCCGCACCCAGGCCAAGAGGGCGCGCGGTGGGTGCCCCAGCTCACCCTCCACCCTGCCTTGTCACCCGCAGTCCTTCTTTCACACGGTGCTGGAGAACAGCCCAGCCTGCGAGAGCCTCGTGGACAACAACCTGCGGGTCACCAACTGGAACCGCAAGCTGGGCTGCAAGTGCCAGTACAAGCACATCGTGGACTGGTGCGGCTGCTCCCCCAACGACTTCAAGCCGCAGGACTTCCTACGGCTGCAGGTGCTTTCCTGTGGCCCCCGAGCTCTGCCCCTTGATAGGGCCTCACCCCAGCTTTCGCCAGGTGCTTTCCAGCCAGAAATGATCCACGGTGGTCCAACCAGAGAATCTGGGGGCCCCTCGCTGGGAGCAGCCCTCAGGGGTCGGGGGCTACACTGGCAGCAGGAAAGGCCCTGGGAGGCTGATCTCCAGGCAGTGCCGGGAAGGGCGGCTCCCCTGCTGTGCTCTCTGGGACCTCCAGACCCCTTCACCCTCCTTGCCTCTCTCGCTCCAGCAAGTCTCCAGACCCACCTTCTTCGCCCGGAAGTTTGAGTCGACTGTGAACCAGGAGGTATTGGAAATCCTGGACTTCCACCTATATGGCAGCTACCCGCCCGGCACTCCAGCCCTCAAGGCCTACTGGGAGAACACCTATGACGTGGCCGATGGCCCCAGTGGGCTCAGTGATGTCATGCTCACTGCTTACACCGCTTTCGCCCGCCTCAGCCTGCGCCACGCCGCCACCGCTGCGTCCCCACTGGCCAACCCACTCTGCAGGTGAGACCTCCTTCTGACATTTTGCAGACCCCCAGTGTGTAGTGCCCTACGAGGAGGCCAATCAGAAAGAGACAGCCCCTGCCGCCAGGGAGCCCCCAGTCTGAGGCAGGGAAAAATGCAAACGAAACAAAGGGGGCAAAAGCCAGGCACATAGGATCTGTGGGTATGAGATCTGGGGCAAAGAAAGCACCTGGGGATGGGACACCCCCAGAGCCCCCTCCCTGGGACTCCAGGCCAAGCCAGGTGTGCTGATGGCATCTCCCTTTCTCCCTGCTGGAACCTTCTTAGGTTTGAGCCCAGGGGCTTGCCGTCCAGCGTGCACCTGTATTTCTATGACGACCATTTCCAGGGCTACTTGGTGATGCAGGCGGTGCAGCCCTCAGCCCAGGGCCCGGCAGAGACGCTTGAGATGTGGCTGATGCCCCAGGGGTCGCTGAAGCTGTTGGGGCGCAGTGACCAGGCCAGCCGGCTCCAGAGTTTGGAGGTGGGACAGGTCCTCCCCTTGCCTTCTCCTGTCCCCCAGCAAGACTCGGGGTAGTGGGGAGAGAGGGACAGACACTAAGGGAGGGCTAAGGACTGGGTTAGGCCTTTCAGAAATGGATTCACGGGTCTTCTTTCCCAGTGATGGCAGCCTTGGGGTGCACAGAGGACATGCAGTCAGCAAGGAGGGGCTTTGGTTCCACTACAATGCAAGCCCAGTCTTCTAAACTCCAGGGATTTTCTGCTAAAGGGACTTGGACATTCCAGTCGGGCCAGAAGATTAGGCTTTTGAGGGTCTCCTTAGCGTGGGGGTGGTCTCTGGGCAGGGCTTCGAACCTCATCTCTGTCTTACTGCCCCCAAAACTTCAGAGCAGGTCAGAACAGGAGCCTAGAATGAATCTCAGAGCTTAGTAAAGAAATCCTAGTCTGAGCCCATCGTTTTGCAGATAGGGAAACAGGACCAGAAAGAGACAGTGACTGGCCTGAGGTCACATAGGAATTAGAGGTAGCAGCAGGTAGAGAGGACTTTACCCCGGCTCCTGCCCAGCTGCCTCCTTTCCTACAGGTTGGCACCGAGTGGGACCCCAAAGAGCGTCTTTTCCGGAATTTTGGGGGGTTGCTGGGGCCGCTGGACGAGCCTGTGGCCATGCAGCGCTGGGCCCGAGGCCCCAACCTCACAGCCACTGTGGTGTGGATCGATCCCACCTATGTGGTGGCTACATCTTATGACATCGTGGTAGACGCGGAAACCGAGGTCACGCAGTACAAGCCCCCACTGAGCCGGCCCCTGCGGCCAGGGGCCTGGACTGTTCGACTGCTTCAGTTCTGGGAACCCCTGGGTGAGACCCGCTTCCTCGTGCTGCCCTTGACCTTCAACCGCAAACTACCTCTCAGGAAAGGTAAGGATCTAGTTCCCAAATGATGCCCAGGAGCCAGGCCGAATAGGATTTGCCAGACAGGTGACCCCAAGAAGCTGACCATCAGAGTAGGGGAAGGGGACATGTTGTGGCCTTGATCATTCATCCGTAAGCATCCCAGGGCCTTGCACTATGGTATGGTGCTTCGGAGGCAGACTTGGCTCTAGAACACAGCTCTGACACTTTAATTGGGCTTTTATCCTTGGCAAATTACTTGGCCTTTCTGAGCCTCAGTCTTATTACATGTAGAGTAAGAGTAATACAACTGTTAGAGACCTCCTGGGTGCATGGAACACAGATCCACTGAAACTAGCTTCAGTGAAAAAGGGGAAATTATTGGAAAAATGCAGAGCTCTCCCCCACGGAACCTAGGAAATGACTCAGGTCCCACTGGGACCTAGAGGTGCTTTCTGTCTCTCTGGGGCCACCTTGTCCCTCATCCTGTGCTCTGTGTATCAGCCTCAGGCTCTGGTTTCTCAGTATATTGATACATGGCCTCTCAGTGCAACGGAGACTGACCAGGGCCTCTTGGTCTACAAGTTCCACATTCTTAGGACAGCAAATCTGATTGGCCATCCTCCCAGTCCATTGGTAGCCAGGTGGGCAGGGTCACATGGCCCTCCACCCACTTGGCTAAGGATAAGAGAGCAGACTCTGAACACAGGCATAGGCTGCAGCTTCCTGCAAGGGGGCCCTAATACAAGTAACTACCCCCTGGGAGATATTAGGAATGAGTATGTGGGTAAAAGTGGCTGTTATATAGTAGGCGCTCAATAAGTAGGTAGATGTTTCCTTCTTCCAGCCACATCCTATCACAGAGAAGGTGGGTCAGAGCAGAGGTAATCCAGAGGAGGACGGGGTGCTGGGGTGGGGTAGCGGCTGAGGCGGATCAGAACAGGCAAGCTGCGCCCTGCTCTCCTAGGACTCATAGCCTGATGGAGGAGACGGGGCAGGGGAGGCACGCTTGACAGCAGGAGGGCACTGGAGCTGAGCCTCGAAGGGGCTGGATTTTTATAGACAGAGAAGGGTATTCTAAACTGAGGGGACAAAGTTAGCAGGTGTCTGGTGCGTGAGGGGAACAGAGGGTGGAGGGGAGTAGGATGCCAGGGGGTGGTGGGAAGGAAGGCTGGCAAAGTAAGAAGGGCGCCACAGCTGGGGGGCCTGAGTACTAGGCTTCTGAGGGCTCTGGGAACCACTAGAGGTGGTTGAGAAGGGGCATGGGTGACACAAACCAGACCATTACCAGAAAGTAACCTTACTTTCTAAGGTGCCTTGAACCCACTGTTTTATTTAACCCTCAAGTCAGGAATTCAGGGATTACTGTCTTGATTTTATAAAACTAAGTTTTACAGGCACAGAAAATTCTGTGGATTAGCCCAAAGTCACTCAGCAAGATGCAACTCAGTGGTAGAGTTGGGACAGGAACTGGGGTGCCCAGACCTGACTCCCAGGGTCTGGCCTTCATGGAATCATTTGGGTGGGGCATGCTTACTCCTGCTCTGTACCCCCAGATGATGCCAGCTGGCTGCACGCTGGGCCACCCCACAACGAGTATATGGAGCAGAGTTTCCAGGGACTCAGCGGCATCCTGAACCTGCCTCAGCCAGAGCCCGCAGAGGAGGCTGCCCGGCTGCATGCGGAGCTCACAGGCCCTGCGCTGGAGGCCTGGACAGATGGGGAGCTAGGTGGCTTCTGGTCTGTGGCCGGACTGTGTGCCATGGGCCCCTCTACCTGTTCCTCCCTGGAGCTCTGCAGACTGACCAGCTGGAGCTCTCTGTTTCCCGACCCCAAATCAGAGCTGGGGCCTGTCAAAGCAGATGGACGACTCAGGTAGCAGGGTCCCAGCCAGCGCCTCCGGAGGACCCGGGGAATTGCACCTTACAGACGATGGAGGGATGTCCCCTTCATATGCAAGAACGAGAGGCCCAGGCAGTAGACCCGTGTCAGCCATCAAGAACTGTAGATGGCAGGGAAGGTGGGCTTAGTATTTACCACCGCAAATGGCTCTGCTGGGGACCAGGATGTTGGCAGGAACATGGGATGAAGGGCTTCAGCTTCCACAGCCCACTCTTCCTCACCTTCCCCTCTAATTTTTTTTTTTTTTTTTTTTTAAGAAAAATGGGTAGTGGGGGGATGAACTGGAAACAAAAGATGTGCAATAGGGCTCAGAGCAGCCCCAGGAAGTGGGCCATGGCTCTGGGGAGCAGGGGCCTGACGAGCCCATCTGCTGCTGCTCTGGAGGGGGCTGGGCCTGCCTCGCTCTCCAGGGCTTCATCCCCCAGCCTTGGCCTGTGCTGCTAACTGCTGAGGCTCTGCAGGGGTCCAAGTGCTATGCCAGGCTCTGAGGCCTGGAGAACAGGTGATTTAGGGGAGCACTGCAGAGCTGGAATCTAATGGGTCAGCCTCTCCTCTTATAGCCAGGGGACCATAGGAGAGGGGGTGGGGTTGGCTCTAGGGCTTTCCAGCATCCCCTGCCCCTTGATGGGAAAGCAGGGCACCAGGGCCTACTGAGACCATTGCGGAGTCTCCCAGGTACCCAGAACTGCAAGCAGGGCCTGGGGCGAGCCCTCATGAGCAGCATGGGAAGAAGACTCTGCCAAGGCTCTCAGAAGAACCTGGAGTAGCATTGTGCCTGAAGCTCAGTGTGAAGTCTGAAATATGCAACAGAAGAAATATATCTCTATCTCTCTCAACTGAGCCTCTGTGTTTTTCCTGCTGGGTGTCAGACAGCCATCACTGTTGGGCCCTCTTCTCCTAAAAGTCTTGGCTGGTACTTTAGCAGAAGGCGGAGGTCTCATTCCCCCAGAGCGGGAACAGTTTAGAATCCATCAAAGAGCTAGAAGGGACACAAGAACCCATCTAATCCAGATCCCTCTTTTTCTGAGGGGTAAACAGGCCCAGAGAGGCTCAGAGACTTCCTCATTGTCACCCAGTGGGCCCACAGGAGACAGTTCTTCAGAGTCCTGACACGGCACTTCCTCCCTTGCTGCCAGGCCAAGGCAGAGGCTTGCTTCTCCGTCTTTGGAGTCACCAGCACCCATCCCAGAAGCCCTCGCTGTTTCCTGCCCAGTTCTGAGTTACGGGGCAGCCCCAAGAACGGAGGCAGTCCCAGCCAGGGCCTGGTAGTTACCATTGCCCCATTTACGAACAGGAGCAGTGGCGGCATGGGTTCCTAGCCGCTGCCTTAGGACCTGGGAGGGCCATGTTGGAAAGGTTTGTCCAGCCTCCCTCCATTTCTCAAGCCCTTTCTCCCCTCCCACTTTTCTGCCGTTGTCAGCCATGGCTCAGTATCAGTCCTTCACACCTTAGTGTGGGAGCAAAGGTGAAGGCTTCTTAGACCTTTAAAATCACCCTATCAGCCAGTCACGCTGACCCGGTCAGCTCAGCTTGGGAAACAAAGGGCTGAGATCCAGCCCAGGCTGCCATGTGTCAAGTTTTTCAAGTTGCCAGGAGAGGGCACCCCTGACCACCAGTGGCAGCGTTGGCGTTTCGGTTTGTCCAGCCACTGTGCTGACCTTGCGTGGAGTATCTCATTTCATCCTCACAGCCCTTTGAGGCAGGCAATTTTATTATTTTCCTTTAGCACACCAGGAAACTGAAATGATGAACCCAAAGTCAAAGCTGTTGGTTGGTGGCTGCAGGCTTCAGGTGGAGGCAGGAGGACTCCACGCCACTCTGTCACTGCATTCTCCTGCTGTCCTAAGGCAGGTAACGAGGAAGGCGCTAACTGCAAGCACTCCAAGGAAATACTGTTAGGGTTCAAGGGCTGAGATGATTGCTTTTTTCTGGCTCCTATTTTATAGAACATCTGCAGTTCTAATCTGGTTCTCTAAGAGTTTTTTGTTTTGTTTTACATCAGCCTTTAGATCGATTAAAAAAAATTAATAACTGTGTTTAGCGTTATCAGGCACAGGCAGTAAATATCAGAGCATTTAGACTCTGCTGACTAAGGATTCACAGACCAGCCAGCAGGTTTAACCCAGGCTGTGGCTATGCAGTTGTTGGGCTAGCACAACTGTTTCCAAAGTCTTATTTTTGGAACTTAGGTGGGACATGCCTTCTGTTTCAGCCCTGCCACTCCCATCTTACTACACCAGGTCCCAGTCACCTGCTGTGACCATTTTGAGCTTAGCCCAGTGGATGGGGATCCAGACTGAGGGCTCTGAGTTAATTGCTCTGAGGTGGCAACCCAACACTGGTGTGGGTTCAGAGGTCCCTCAGGCAATTCTAATTTGCAGGCTGGCAGGAAAACTAAAGTCCAGCCCCAGCCCCACTGCTCTGGCCGGTTTGTCTTGGCCCCATGAGTCAGAAGCAATGTGGGACAAGGAGTAGGCTTCATGACTCCATCCTCTCCCCTGTCCAGGTCACTGAGGCAAGTGTGAGTGCAGCTCCTTGGACTGAATTCCTGGCCAACAGTGTCCCCCACCCTCATCTCTCTGTAGGGTTAGCTCAACCCAGAGGCTTGAGCGTTTTGAGGCTTTGAAATCCTCCCCTGGCTGGGCCCCTGGGGTCAAAATCGGAATAACAGCCAGGCGGAAGTGGGGTGGGGGCATGCGGCCTGGGCCCCCAGAGCTGCCCAAGAATTCCTTTGAAGGGAGGGGAAGAGCCTGGGGAGAGAGGCTTTTGTATTTTGTGCCTGGTTTCCAGGACAACCAGGGGCACCTCAGTTCCCTTAGAGATGGGAGCAAAGACCAGAGGACAGTTGGCATTTGGAGCCCTGTCACCTGAGCTGATGGGAAGTGGCGTGGGAGCGGGGGTGCAGAGTAGGGCTGGGAGGGGATCGGGACTGAGAGGTGCAGAGATCTGGGCGAGGTGGAGCTCTCCTGGCTGTCTTCTGGGTTTAGCAGAAGCCTAGCCTGTTCCCGCCAACCCCTTCTCCTGCAGGTTGTTGAGGGACCCTCGTGGCTGCCAGGCCTGCAGAGTGGAGTGCCATCTGTGGGACACTAGGTCCTGGCACGGTACTGACCAGGACAAGCAGGGGCAGAAGCTGAGAATCTGGAGAGCTGCTCACAGATACCATGGCTCTGAATGAAGCTGCTCCTCTGGGCCAGGGATCCTGGGTTGAGGGTTGGCCCTGTGGGGATGGTGGGTGGGGCCGGCAGAGGGGGGAGCCCATCCTGTGGCTGTCTTCAAGGTCATTTAAGGCCAGTGCCCTTTCTTGGCACCGCTCTGCCACTGCTGTTCCCTGTGCAGAGATCACCGTGGAGAACAGCCTCCTAGGCATAGTTGTGGCCACTGGTGAGTACCCATTGCTGTCCCAAGTTCAGAGTTGGGGCAGATGCACACTTGGCCCCTCACCAGAGGCCAGAAGTCCAGCTTCTTCATCTATAGGGTCACCTAAAGCAAGCCCCTTGGGGAGAATGCTGTGTTTGGCTAGTACCTGAACCCTGAGGTCCCTTCCCTGCTGTGCTCTATGATGCTACAGTCTACGACAGCGGAAGAGTCGGCACCAGGAGTTTGACTTCCCACTCGAGCCCTCCCTCTCCTGCCTCCTCAGATCCAGTTTCGAAGGGTGTCTGCCCCGCCACAAGCCGCTTCTCCTCCCCGAGTGTGTCCCTCTGTAAACTCCCTTACACACATCACTCATCCCCTGGGCTGAAGGAAGACAGGATATAGCTGCTCGGTCCTCCCTCACAAATCTCTGCCACAGGGAATTGATGCCGCAGCAGAACGGGAGCCGCCTGCCCCTGCTCCCCCTGCACGTCGAGCTGGTACTAGTCCCAGCCAGGTCATTCCTGCTCAACTTCCGGAGTGCAATTTCAATCTGGGGAGGTGAGATGGGTCCGTGCCTGCCAGGCCCAGGCTGAGCCTCTGACGCCTGGTGCCTCTGGTGGGGAGGAGCGTTTCATGCCGGTTTTTATCATGGCCATCCCGTTGTGCTGCTGTACCAGCGAAGCCCCAGGGCTGCCATGTCCTCTGCTCTCTGCTCAGTATGGAAGGGGCCTTCGGATCTACTCTGTGGACCCGCATCTTCCAGTGTGGGTTCCCTCTGGACCAAGGAAGTAGTGTGGAAAGGGTTAGCAACATCCTGGCCAGCCTCCTCTCTGGCCATTGTGAAACAGGACCCAGTACTGGGAGCTGCTGGTGACGACAGTGGTCTTCCCAGCTCTCCAAGCAAGGCCCACAGGCTCCTAGCTCTCAGGGGAAAGCCCAGAGCCAACTTCTGTGGGTGGTGACTGCCATACTGTCAGTCCTCTTCCCAGGGACGGGGCACCACATGGGATGCTGGGTACAAAAATCAAAAGAAATCTTCAGACCTGCAGCCTCCCTAGGCTCCAACCCCAACTCTGAGCACCAGACAGAGGATGGAGAGGTGGGGACAGAAGGTGTTCTTTGACTCTCCCACAAGGGTCATCAGAGCCGGCTGCCAGATTGTGAAAGAATGAGCTAGTGGCCAGAAAGGGGTGGAATTTCTTTATACCCGAGTGCATTTCAGAAATGCTAAGGGTCTGGGCTTTGTGCCTTGGACTGGCGGAGGGAGAGAACAAGATGGGGAGAGGACATGGGGACAAGAAAGGGTTTGGGCTCTGCTCTCTTGCTCGCTGACCCTAAACCCTGAGCTTCATTCTGAGTCATCCTTCATGATCCCCAGGACTGCCCCTCTCCCTGCTTCAGCACCATGGGATGCCCCACCGAGGTCCAGGCAGTGGAAAGGTGCTGCGAGTCGCAGGGGATGCAGGTGAGGGAGGACAGTGGGGGGAGAGGTGTGTGCCAGGGCCTAGTGTGGCTAGGGGAAGAAGGCGAGGAAGCCTAGAGACTCCTTGGAGAGAAGCGTGTGTTACCCTGATCTTAGGCTCATCCTGGTGGAAAGGGTCCAGATGGCAGCTGGAGAACGGCTGCGCAAGCCTGCCAGGCTCCCGTAGTCACAGGGCCGTCCCCAGGGGGGTGAGGTACTGTGTGGCGCTGTGCAGCAGCTACCAGCTATCCCTATGGGAGCCAGCTTGCCTGCCCAGCTATGAGTGTTCAAACGGCCCGGCGGCCGCAGATGCGCCAGCTGACTGCAAAGTGCTTCTGGCTCTGGGCCTGCAGAGAGGTAGGTCAATGTTCAGCCCTCCGAGCCTTGAGTGGGAGAACTGAGTTTTTTTCCTTATTACTTTTTTTACTGTATGTAAATGCCTAATCAGAGCCTCTGGGACAAGGAAAGGACCACGGATGGCGAGCCCCAGGATTCGGCTAGAGGCCTCACTTCACCTCTTTGGGTAGAAGAAAGGATGGCAGACCCCAGTCCAGGGAAGCGATTTAGGCTGGGCAGAAGAGCTTCCATGGGGGTGAATGGGTAATGTCTTTGCTCTACCTCCCCCAGCTGCCATCCAGCTATGAGGAGGCCCTAAGGTCACTGCCTGCACTACCACCCAACCATGGCTCTGCTCACCCACCCCAGGAAGCAGCCACCTGCCTTCAGGGAAACACTATAGGAGGGAACACGCTCTTCCATCTTGCCCCTTCCCACTTCTCCAGGGGACTGGCGGGGACTGGCAGGGACAGCGCTGAGCCTATGGAGACGCTTCCAACAATCTCCCCGAGCTGGGCCTTGGTACAAAACCCTACGGGAAGGAAGCTAAAGTGAACCTCAACAAACCCTGGGCCACCTTTGCAGGAGGTGGGAAATCTGGGGTCACGCCCTGAGAATCAAGGTGACAAATTCAAGGCAGACCTCCAGAATTAGACTTCTCTGCCCTCAACCCCTGGAGCTCCTGCCTTCAGGACAAAGAAGAGTGCTTGGGAGGAAGGCACTAACTCTGCAAGCCCTCTCTGGGGCTGCAGCCAGCATCGCCTGCCTCCAACAGCCAGGACGTCTGTCCACCCCTGCTGAGACTTCCTTCCTCGCCCTTGCACTCGAAGCCAAGCTTCTAAAGGTCTTGGGTTGACAATGAAGGCCTGCCCCCAGCCCACTCTAGGCCCAGACTGAGTACTCCTAAAGCCAGATTCTTTGCTGCAGTTTACAATTTGAGATAAACTAAGAATCAGGAAAGAATGAGAGCTAGGTGTCTCTCTGGGTAACAGGAAGAAGCCCATCTGTCACCCATTCTGCCTCATCACTGGAAGGACCCTGGTATTCCAGGCCAGATGGGGCCTCTCCGCTCTGGACCCACAGAGGCAGGAAGGGGTCTGCCATGTGGCCATTTCTGGGGCTCCCGCCCCAGCTCCCTCTGAATGTGGCTCCAGGAGAGGAACATGACCACACTGGCTTCCTCTGTTGGCCCCTTGGTCGCCCCCCGCCCACTCTTCCCCAGTGACTTCTGTGGGATCCAGGAGGGGAAGGCGCAGGAACACCCTCAAGCACAAGCACTCCTCTTCCTTACCCTTCGGGGGATGGTGCTAAAGGGATCCCCTCCTCAAAATGAAGTCCCCTCTTCTCATTTCCTCACTGACAGGCCTCTTTCCTGCTTTGAGGCTCCCCCTTGTGTGCACTTGAGAACACGGATAACAGATCAGTAAGCCACTCCATCCAGGTTTGTCCCCAAATAGCAGAGACTCACGACTCCGGCTAACTTTATTTTTGGCCCCAGGTCAGGTCTCCCAAAGGGCTTCCCAGCCAGTCACTTCACAGTCTCCTGCAGTCACCACCAAGCAGACTTCTTCCTTGAGAGACCTGTCGTCACTCCAACCCTTGATGACGTCTGGTACCACCCTCTCCTGTCACCTGGGCTCCAGTCTCTGTCCAAAGGCCTCAACCAGGAGGTCAAAGCATAGCTACCAGTTTGAAGGTGCCCTCAGGCTTGGCAGGAACCACGTGGACAAAAGTCTTGTAGAGCACAGCCCCCTCGGGCAGCCTGGTGACCAGATCCACAGCCTCCGAGTTGCTGGGACTGGGCACGTAGACCTCCTTAGTGTAGCGGACTATCCCCTCCTCCAGAGCATACAGGTACTTCTTCTTCCCCAGCCCCACCTGCAACACACAGACCTGGTCAGCTGGACAGTCAGGGGGTCCATCCCAGAGTTCTAGGATAGACTCTTCACAAAGATTCAGGCCCTGGGGCCAAAGGGGAGGATTCAGAAAGCTCCATCTCAGGTTCCCTTTCCCACTGCTTGGTAATTACTCCATCACAAAGGCGGGAAAAGAAAACTCCAACAGCCAATCCTGGTGGTTACTCAGGGCTGATACCTGGACCCGTATCTGTGCAGCTGGCCAGAAGCCACGCTGGACAGATGCCCAAACCAGGCCTGGGAAAATGCCTCTAATCACCGCTCCTGGGAGTTTGCTTCACTGAGGCCTAACACAACACTAGTCTGATATGCATTTTCGTCTACATGGTGATCTATAACGTTTAGGCTCAACGCTATATGGATAATGCATACGCTAATTAAACAAAATGACATCGGCTAATACTTATGTCACGCTTACTGTGTGTAAGCACTGTTCCAAGCCCTATTATATACGTTAACTCACTTGATTCTCACCTTGTGAAGCAGGTACTATCGCTAACCCTGATGTTCAGGTGAGAAATATGAGCAAAGAGATTAAATAAACTGTGTATTACATATTTATTTTCTTTATTTTTTAACTATACATGTCATAGCTTTTTTCTTTTAGAACTTGAGATTGCATGTGGGGCAATTTTTACCCAGTATTATTCAATATCTCTCTGATTAAACGAACAGACTGGTTCAAATCCCAGCCCTACTACTTACTACTGTGTGATCTGGGCAAGTTAATTTACTTCACTGTATCTCACTTTTTTCATCTGCAAAATGGAGATAAATATGAACTATTTCATAGGGTCATCTTGAGGATTAAATGAGTTAATAATCAGAAAGAGCTTAGAATACTGCCCAGGTCACAACATATTAGTTTTTATTATTGTTGTCATTATTTTATTAAGTGTGAAGAATTAACACAGCCACATACTGCATGTCTCGAGTTCTAAAAAAATAAAGCTACTACACATACAATCAATTCACATACAAATTAGCATTTCTGAAATAATTATAGGTTACTATCAGTCTTTCTGTGCCTACTAAAATTGCCAAAAAAGAGGTAAGAAGGCAGGAGGAAATTGATTACAGAGGAAACTAATATTTTAAATAATGTAAAGAATATAGTACAGATCTGTGTTAAAGAACTTTCCTACCTCAGCAAGTACTACCAACTTGCTGAAACTGAAATCCCTGCCTGGTATGGACCTAATTTCTGGCCCACAAACTGAATTCTATTTTATTAAATTCAAGTTATCTTTCAGCCATCTAATAATAACTTTAATCAAAGGAGGAATTCTTAAAAATAAAAAATGAATAAATTGAAATTAGTTTCCCAAGATTAAAAAAATATCTTAAATCATGAGAAATATCCTCTTCCAAGAACTGGGGGTTAGAAAGGGGACCCCAGAGAACCAAGCTAATGCTATTACCAAAGCAAAAAAGTGATTTGGGAGTCAAGCAGACCTGGTTCAAATCCTAGCTCTGTCACTACCCACCCCCCCCTTCTAAGTTTCTGGCATCCTACCTGTAAAACAGAGATGACACCTACCTACCCTAGCGATGGGGTAAGGATGAAATGAGATAATGCAGGCCCAGGAATCAGCATGACACTTGGCATTTGGTAAGCACCCAATAATTGCAACTGTTACAATTACTATGCTCAGGAGCACGGAGAGGTGAAGAAAAAACGGGAGGGGGGACAGAGCAACTCACATGGGCACCTGGGTGCCAGCGGAAGTGGCGCTGAGTCGCAAGGATGTTGCCAGCATGAACATAGTGACCTAGAAGAGAAGTCCACATGTGTGCTACCTTTGGGCCCCCATGATGAGGCAACACAGCGAACTGCTAAGAAACCATGGCAGCCCTCGCCTTCCTGGCCCAAATGCTACATACTAACTTCTACGCCTGCCCCTGGATAAGACCAACTCCCAGTCTGACACAAGGAGCCCCTGTCTCCCACCCGGCAGCCTCCTCTCCAGTCGCATGGCCAAAGTTCCCACCTATCTGCTCTTCCTCAGCCCCTCCACCCCGCCTCAGGTCTTATCTGTTTCTTCCATTTGGAACTAAATGTTCTGGTGAGCAAAATGGAGAGTACAGGACAGGGCACTTGTGTGGTTTGCCCGCTCTTCAAAGGAACGCCAGGACAGCAGGGTAGGGTGCTAAGTGGAAAGTGGAAGCCAGGTCAGACCCTTACCCTCCATTTTCTTGATGCCAAAGCGTTTGCCTGGTGACTTTCCACCGAGGTTCTTAGAGCTGCCGCCTGTCTTTTTGGATGCATATCTGACGGCAAGAGCTGTAGCCTGAGGGGGGCTCAGCAGGGCGGTAACTGCAGAGAGAACAGAAATGTTGTTCAAACAGAGCGGCTCCCCATCAGACTCTTTCTCTGCCTCAATGGGTCATTTGCTAAGCTGAGAGGTGGCAGGGGGCAGTGTCAGGTGGGGTGAGGAAGATGTGTGAGCAGAACTTGACTTTGTGGGTTTTCCGGGAGTGTCTGAGGTCCTTGGCCTTCCCCCACGACAGGGGATAAGTCATTCTTGTATTGTCCACGGTGTAAGCAAGCACTACATGAGCTGTCTGTGTGTGGCCTAGGGTTGAGGGGAGGGAGTAAAATATTATTGGAAAAAAAATAAACACCATGTGCCCTTGGTCCTTACACATCCAGTCCTATTAAAGAGAAACAAAACCACAGAAACAGAAGCCAGCAAGAGGACACCACAGAGCTGCCTGTTTCAGCCTCACTCACCATTATGCCCTCAAGGCTCAATGCACTGTGGAGGGGCCAGACCACAGCGCCCAGCAACAGGACACCCAGAGAGAGGCTCCTGCTTTGACCTCACCCACCACTTTCTTAGCCATCACCCATCCACTGCACATCAGATACTTGTAAACAAAAAGGGCAGCCTCTGTGAGGGTGACTCCCACAGGCTTCTGTCCATTTCAGAAGGCTGGACCCTTTCTCTGTTCGGCAAGTCCATCAAGCACAGGTCCAACCAAGAAGACTGACACCCTGCCCTTGTTAATCTGACCTCTCCATACTCATTCCAAAGTGCTCAATGGTATTTATTTTAAAAGGGAAAGTGAACTAAAATTCATAATGACCAGGATGGAAGCCCTGTGCTATATGACAAGCCCAGGAATGGCAGTCCCAGCATTCAGGTCTCCAGATACAGCTATGGTTAATCAGGGTCATGCCAGAGTCTTTACAGAAGGCTTGTGGGTCCTGGAATCTATAAGTTCAGGGTTCCTAAAACCTAGGTTTCTGAAGTTTTAATGAGAACAGAGACTACCTGCGGCAAAGGACCAGAGACGAGGACTTACAGAGACAACATGTGAAATGACCAGCACCAGGATCTACCTACCTTTAAACACCTATTCATTTATTCACTCAATTTCAGGAACTGGACTTTGCTTTACCTAACTTAGCTCGCTCACGAATCTTTGCCCTTCACCCTATTCCCCATCCTCCTCAAAGTAAATGATGCTACCACTTACACAGCTGCTCAGGCAGAAATCAAAGAGTCACTGCAGATTCCTTCCCTTTGCTGATCTCACATATCCAGTTCACCAGCAAGCTCTGTGGATCCTATTTCCAAAACGGATTTCAAATCCACCCATTTCCCTCCAAGTTCACTGACACTAACACCCTGACTAAATCATCTCTCTTCAGGGCTACTGTTACTGCTTCCCGTCTGGTTTCCTCATTTCCACTCCTACTCCCTTTAAATTCACATAAGAGCAATAGTTTGCTTCTCAAAATGGAAAATTGGGTCGAGTCATTCTCTTGCCCCTCACTCTCTTACAGAGCCAGGCCTCCGGTCATCCTTTAGGTCTTAACTTACATGTTACCTCCTCAGAGGGCTTCCCTGACCACCCAACCTAAAAAAAAGACACAGACACATTTTTCCCTTTCTGTCACAGTAGTTGCAACAATTCACAACTATTTTATTTACGTGCTTATCTATTAGAAGTAACCATCCTGCGGGTAGAGACTATGTCTTCATCTTCTCTGCTGAGATCCTCAACACCTACCACAGTGTCTGGCACAAAGACCTCAATCTGCTGAATGAACAGATTAACTTTTCGCGCGCCTATGTGCCAAAAGCAGTAACCCATTTTTGTAGATAATGGGACCCAAACAAACCGAGACAGGGGAAGCGGAGAACCGTCACCCACCCCTAGGGAAGCTGTATTTGCACGCCTGGCAGGGAAAGGTCACGTGCTCCGCGCCCTAGCGGTCACACGACCAGTGGCTACCGCCCCTCAAACCTCGTGGGCCCCGCACACTCCCCCCAGTCCCCTCCCGCCCCCAGGGTCATCCGTGGGGAACGACCTCAAAGCCCCCAGATCCCTGCAAGGTCTCCACTCCGCCTCCACCCCTCGCCCCGCGACCGCCACGGCGGCCGTTTACCAGCTGTCCGCGTCCTCTGCGACACCACAGCTAACGCCATGTTGGCCCTACACTCGCTTCCGGTCTGAGAGATCTGCTTCCGCTACCGGAGATCTATTTCCGGGTCCTGCGTGGCGGATGAAAGAGTGACGCGAGAAGTTGCTGGTGAGCGCTGCCGGGCGGGCGGACCGGGTAGGGCTTACTTCCTGAGCTCAGCTCTGCAGAGGCTCGGTGGCCGGGGCGTCCGGCGCTTCTGCCGCGGTGCGTGGGCGAGCCGCCCGCCGTGGTGTCAGCGGGAGAGGCTTGGAGCCCGCTCAGAAGGGGCCCGCTTGTCCGACCCCCGCATTTTGCCAGAATCTACCAAGGCCCTTGCGGGTCTCTCCCTAGTCATTCAGCTTACTTTACTGAGCGCTTCCTGCGTGCCAGATACTGTACTAAGCTCTGTAGATGTATGCTTTTTATTTTTTTTTTAAACTTCTTACAATCTGGTAAAGTAGGTAATGTTATTATCCCTATTTTACTAAAAAAGAAAGCGAGGCCCAGAGAGGTTACCTGGCTCATCTCGGGTCACACCTACAATGTTAGTGAATATTTGTTCAAAGAACGACTCTTGTGCACGACCCAGCAACTGGCAATCCTAGGTCTGTCTGCAAGAGAATTGAAAACATCCCCACAAAAACTAGGACATGAATGTTCATGGCAGCATTATTCATTCAAAATGGCCAAAAATGGAGTCAAACAGAATGTCCACTAGATGATGAATGGACAAACAAAATGTGGCATATCTATACGGTGAGGTGTTATTCAATCATAAAAAGCAATGAAGTACTGACACATGCTACAACATAAATGGACCTTGAAAATATTATGCTTAAGAAGCCAGTCACAAAAGTTCATATACTCAGCTAAAAAAGGGTGACTCTTGGTATCTCCATTTTACATGCAGAGATCAGCAAAGAGGTTGTGTCGAGTGCGTCTTGTTCGTACCTCATTAACATTTTTTAATAGTAACCTCCACTTTGTTTACACCTCACCTTGACCTAGAAAGGATTTGAGAAGGTTTCCTGTTAGACTACAGACATAGCTGTTCTGAGTTCCAGATTGACCGTGTTGGGACCATATCCTCTCTCTCTGTGTATCATTTATTTCCTTAAAGCTTGGCCATAGAACGCATCAAGTGGAGTGAATTCAGTGCTACAGTCTGTGTCTCATCTCTCTTTTCTTTTTAGGGAATTAATCTGATAGCACATATTGATGGCTGTAGAGAAGTCATTACTCGCACTGGATTCCAGCGAGAGTGAGTCTGAGGAGCTGCCAACATTTGCCTTTCTGAAGAAGGAGCCGTCTTCAACCAAGAGGAGGCAGCCTCAGAAGGAGGCGAAGATTGTAGTGGTTGACATCTCAGATTCTGAGGCCTCCTGTCCTCCGTCACCAAAACTGAGAGATCCACCACCTGTTCCAGAGACAGCTGAAACTGTCACACCAACAGAGCCAGTCAGGGTGCTAAGCAGTGGAAGTGAGGATGAGGGAGAATTTGCTCCCCTGGCTGAGAGGCTTACTTGTAAGTTTTTGACCCACAAGCAGCTGAGCCCTGAGGACTCCAGCTCCCCAGTTAAAAGGGTTTTAGATCATCAAAATAATGAAGGAGCATCACGTGACTGGCAAAAGCAGCCCTTCACAAAGATCCGTGATATTCCTCTCTGTGACACCTCAGAGAGGTGTGCGTCGAGTAACAAGGACCCTGTGGTAGACAGTCCATGCCATCAGCTGCCAGCCTACCAAACTACCTGCTCTGTCCAGAGCAACAGCGTGACAGTAGCTAAAACAAATGCTGGGGTGCCCCCACCTCAGAAGAGAACCAAGCATAATCAGAAGGTCCAGAGGAGAGGCTCACAGGGATGCCAGCAGCGGGGACAAGCAGGCCAAAAGGAAAGCACCCAGAGGCAACAGGAAAGGAAGAAGAAGGCAGCCCTGGCTAACAGGCTGAAAGCTCAGAGGCCAGAGGAATGCTTGAAGCACACCGTTGTGCTGCTGGATCCAGGTCCTGCAGGCATCTTTCTTTACCTCATGCCGGGTGAACTGCTTTCTGGGCCCCACTGACAGCCCCTTTCCCATCTGTTGCAGTGCTCTTACAGATGGAAGGTGGGGGCCAGCTCCTCGGAGCACTACAGTCCATGGAGTGCTGCTGTGTGATTGAGGCGCCGGCCGTGCCTTGCAGCATCACGTGGAGGAGAAGGGCTGGGTCCACTGAGGTAAGGGTTTTCTGGCTGCTGTCGCTCCTCTGTAGAGTTACAGGATAAATATGCTTTTACTCTAAAGGATATATTATCAGTGAGGGCTCCAGCAGGAAAGCAGATAGCACACTCAGCTGAGTATAATTTGAGGAGGATTTAGTAAAGGGGCTGTTTCCCAAGGTGTGGGCAGGGTGCAAGGAAACTACAAGGGACAGCGCCGTACCTCAGGACGATAACGGCTTTAACTTGGTTTCTCCACCTCGGGTACGGCTGCCATTTTGGATTGGTTAATTCCCTGTTGTGCTGGGCTGTCCTGTGCCTTGTAGGATGTTTAGCATCTACCCGGTAGCTGCCAACAGTACCTGTCCCAGTTGTGACAACTGAAAATGTCTCCAGATATTGCCAAACGCCCCTTGGGGGGTGGGGGGGAATCGCCCGTTTCTGTCGCAGTCATCCTATAAGGAAGAAATTCTTATCCCCCACATCACAGGTGGGGAAACTGAGGCCCTGAGAAGTTGAAAGCCTTGTTAAGGATCACAGCTGAGTAGTGGCTGGGGGGGTGGGAGGGACTAGAACCCAGAGCTCCTCCCACCTGTGCTTTGCAATATTATGGGTCTTGGCTCTTGCTTATAGGGACCTAATCAGAAAACTCCGCACAAGCCCTGCTCACGGCTGTTCTGTAATGCTGTACTGCTGTAGGATTGTGGGCCGTGACGCGGCCTCGGCTGTGTTTGATTATGCCCTAGTATGGCGACGAAGAGGTGCTCTCACAGACTGAAGTTTCCTCGGTGATCCTTATCTTTGTCACACAAAACCTATGTGTAAGGGTCACTCAGCTTAGCATCTACCCTCAAAGCCCAAGTTACTTATTTGTTCCAAATCCTTCGGAAGAGTTTCCTTCGCTCCATTCCCCTATTCAGAATGCATAGAAATATTGGCAGTTACTTCTCAGTCCGCTTCAACTCACTAATGCTCCTTTCTTACTCACTGCCTCAGAGGTGCAGTGCACTGAGGCTGAACAGTTGAGGACTGGGAAGGACAGGATTATGGGTTACTATTTCTTGCCACCATGACTTCATTCCAGAAGAGAAATGATAATGCAAAGTGGACTAGGCTGGGCTTCCCTGGTGGCGCAGTGGTTGAGTCCGCCTGCCGATGCAGGGGACACGGGTTCGTGCCCCGGTCCGGGAAGATCCCACATGCCGTGGAGCGGCTGGGCCCGTGAGGCATGGCCGCTGAGCCTGCGCGTCTGGAGCCTGTGCTCCGCAACGGGAGAGGCCACAGCAGTGAGAGGCCCGCGTACCGAAAAAAAAAAAAAAAAAGTGGACTAGGCTGATGGGGATGAAGTCATTCACCCAGAAGGCCTGGGTCTCTCTCGCAGGTGCTAAGCACCTGCTGACCTGCCTCCCTCTGCCGGATTCCACGCCCTTTGACAGGATGGAGAGGAGGACTGGGTGGAGGAGCCGATGGTTCTGGTGCTGCTCCTGGCAGAGGCGTTTGTGTCCATGATCTACAACTTCAAGCAGGTGGGCACAGCCAGAGGGTAGGCGCTGAGGCTGGGGCGGAGGGCTGGCTGCAGGGAGCAGGCGTGCTTGCATTTCTGCCCCTTCACGCAGGGGAGTCTGGGCAGCACCGAGGAAGGGAAGAAAACGCTTCGGAGCTTTGTAACTGACATCACAGCAAGGACAGCTGGGAAAGCTCTGTCACTGGTGATTGTGGATCCGGAGAAATGCTTCAGGTTTGGATTTGTCCTTGAGACTTAGCATTAAAAGGGGCAGCTCTTAGGCCAACGGGGGTGAATTTATTCATCCCAGATCTGGGTCCCTCTGCAAAATAGCATCCGTCCTAGCCCTGTGGGACTCTCTGGTCCGGTCTTCTCACACCTCTTCTGCCCGAGCTCGGCCTGGAGCTGCCACTCTTTGATTTCCTTCCCTGCTCCAGGGCTCCGAATCCCCCAAGGAGAAGGAAACAGGGGGTGGCAAACGGAGAACAGGCCAAGGAGAAGGAGAAGCAGAGACAACCGGAGGCCAACACAGCGGCTGTGGTGACCAGGGTAGACATGGAAGAGGTAAGAACTTCTGTTGCCTGAGTCATCGTGGCTGACCGCTCTCATCTAACCCGATTCACCATGATGAAGAGTAAAATGCCTGCTGGACACTACTTTCTACCTCGGCACTGAGTAGGCGAGAAGGGGCCAAACGGGGAGCCAAGGGGCTGGGGTGCAGCTTCAGTGAACGGTGAGAGAACAGTTTCAAACTAACCTCTGCATACCCATCTGCTTTGGGGTTTCTAGGCATTGGTAGATCTGCAGCTACACACAGAAGCCCAGGCTCGAATTGTGCAGAGCTGGAAAGAGCTGGCCGACTTGGCCTGCACATTCACCAAGGCAGTGGCTGAGGCGCCCTTCAAGTGAGTGCCCCCGTCAAGTCCTGGCTCGGTTGCTTGGCCTTGTCTTTTACAGTAGTTCTGGTACCCAAAGATGATGTCCCTTTCCCCTAAACTCTGCTGCTAGCCTGTTGTCACTCAAGTTTGAGGCAGAAGGAGTTGACCTAACCCTGGGAATTCTTGGAAAGAGCCCCCAAGCTCAGTCCCTTTAAAATGTTCTCCTGTAGCTTATGTGTAAGTTTGTGTTCTACAGGTTGGTACTGGGTTATCAGTGGGCCAGCTTACCAGAATTCATTGCAGGTCAGGTCACAATGAAACAAGCCCTTGTAAAACAATTTTTTAGCCTACTTAGCTCAAGGGCTGTTCATAGTCAGAATTTAAAATCAGTGATTCCTCAGAGACAATCCAATCCAAGTCCCTCATTTTATACCTGAGGGAACTGAGGCCTAAAGAGACCGACTTGTCAAAGTTCCTAGCAGATCAGAAGAACCAAAACTAGACTCCAAATTGCCAGATACCCAGTGCTGTGCACTAACCCCCATGCACACTGCCTCCCCGATCAAGATACCCCAATCTCAATGCAAGCAAGAGCCTCGTACTTTTCTGGTAACTTCTTTTTTGATGAAAAGGAATAGATGTCATTTTTATGGGAATCGGCAACTAGCACTGCTAGGGGACAGAATGAGCATTCAAATTGGCCAGGTAGAACGTCGTTCCCACCTCTTCCCCTGTCAGTGGAGGGTTTTTAAGTTCCTAGTTAAGGGGACAGGTGCAGCACAGTAACACGCGACTTGCAGCTCAACTGTGCTGTTTGCAGGAAGCTCCGAGATCAAGCTAGTTTCTCCTTCTGCCCGGAGAGTGACTGGGCTGGAGGGGCAAAGGTGGACCGCTCTGGCAGGGGGCTTGCAGTGGTCTGGAGGAGACAGATTCAGCAGCTGAACCGAGTCAGCCTGGAAATGGCCAGTGCCGTTGTGGACGCCTACCCCTCCCCACAGCTCCTGATCCAGGTATGCCGTTCCAGGGGTCACTGCCCAGTGCACTGTGGCCTTAGTGGACTCCCAGTTTCCATGGACAGCACTGGTGAGGGCCCAGGAATGCCTTGTAAGTCAACAGTGCGGGTCTGAGATCAGAGTCAGCACTGACCAGGGAGGGAGGATGGTTCTCATCCCCCAACCCAAGCTTCCCGTCCCTTATTCACAGATGAGGAATGACCGTGGGTGGTATGGTATTAACAGGTCATTTACCACTTTCAGGCTTATAAGCGGTGTTTTTCTGAGCAAGAACGCCAGAATTTGCTTGCAGACATACAGGTGCGCCGTGGGGAAGGTGTGACAGCCACCTCCCGCCGTCTTGGACCAGAGCTCTCCAGGCGTATCTACCTTCAGATGACCGCTTTGCAGCCAGATCTCTCTTTAGACAGTGCAGACTGATGCCAGCCCTCAGGGACAGGGATGAAAAGCTGATTTCCACCCCAGCCCCCCGACCTCAGAGCATGACTACAGTGCAGGGATCAGAAGCACCTCCTGCAGCACAGCCTGGGTCCTGCCCACAACAGGCTTTCCTGGGCGTCGCTGTTTGCGATAGTGTCCCTACCTGTCAGCTTGGGGCAGAGGCTGAGATGCTCACATTTGCCTTCCCCTCCCAGCAAGTCAACTGCCACGTACAAACCACCCCGACCCCTGCCCCAGCCAGCCCTCAAAATACAAAGGAACAAAGACAGACCACTCAGACACGTATTTAATAACTGTAAAAATCCAAAAGAACCTCAGCGTCAAATCTTGAGGTCACAAGTGAACTGCCCTCGGCGGGCTGCTTGACAAGGCTGGACGTGCTCCCGCCTTCCTCCCGTCCACGGAAGCTGCCTCAAGCAGCCAAGGAACGGGGGGAGGTCTGATCACTATGCTGACTTCTGTATTCTCTTAATCTCATTTTATGTACTATGTGTTTAGTTTCAATAAAGCATTTGTACCAATGGCTCTGGAGCTTGGAGGAAGACTAAAGGAATGTGTAGTGATTCTGAGTAAGGTGTGGGCCTACGCAGCAGAGCTCTCCCTGAGGGAGAAAAGAACAAGTCTTTTCTTCCACTGTCAGGACGGTCACAAGTGTCAGTGAGAAGACGAACCCCACTCTGTCTCTGGACATGACAGGTTCTTGCTCTCCCTGGGGAATCGGGAGTCTTCTGTGAATTGAGCACCGTGACGGCCATTTCTGATCCCTTCATCCAACTGTTGTGAAAGGAGGCAAAAGGAGGCCACAGAGCAAGAAAATGCTGAGTCTGGCAGACAAGAGAATGGACAGTTCTGCCCTTATTCATGCAAGTCGTTAGTGTACCACTTTTAAACTCCATGATGCTACTTATTTCCCTTCATTGTGTAGTTATATCTAGAATCAATTCTAAACCTCAGTCTCTTATGAAGCTTTAGTTTTCAGGTTGCCTGTGAGGTATTTAGTCACACCGATTATGTAAGAGAGCTGTCACAGACAATGTGGCTTTGCAAGGGTCCACCTTCTTGTTTATTGGCAATCAGGGAATTAATGCTCTCAAATTGACGCAAGGAGCCTGGACCATCCCCATTTTACAGAAGCCACATGAAGTGCCGCAGGACTCTACAAGAGCTGCCCAAGACCCTCATGGCTATGAGATTTCTATCTGTGGGTCATGAATCTGTTTCCCGTGAAAGATTCTATACTCCAGCCAAGAGACAATTCTGGTGTAAGTTGTGTTCTCTCAGTACACTATAAAGGAGGCAAAATGATGGGAAGAAAGGATACCAGGGTGGGAATCCAGTTCTGCCTCAAACCAGCTAGGAGACCATAGGCAAGTCATGGAAGGCCTCAGTTTCCCTGTCTACAAGTGTTACATTGGACTGGATGGTCTGGAAGTCCTGTCACAGCCTGAGATTTTGTATGACTGTTAAAATATCTGAATGTCTGAGGTCCTTAAAAAATAGGTACGCCCCTCCCCCCCAATTTAGACTAGATTTGCTGAGTATGGTGTTCCCCTAGTCCCCAATAACACACTGCCTCCTGATCTGCCCTGGCTCCCCAGGGAGGAATGAAAGAAAGGGTTTGTGACACACAAAAGTATAAATGTAGTGACAGCTGACCTTTAGTAGAAATGAGTCTTGCCTTTATACAGCTTTGTATAACAACTAGAAAAGGCTATGTTTTGTCCTCTCCCCACCCCAAGCCTATTCTTTTAAGCATGCAGGTAACTGGCCCCACCTCCTATTTCTCCTTATTCCACCAGGGAACCCTGACTAAGGAACAAAGAAGTCTTACAAAGAGGAGGTCTCAAGTACCAAACGGCAGCCATGTGATGATGGCAGGTAGGTCTGACACTAAAAAGAGGTTGTGTCCAACAGAACCCAATTCCATAGGAATCCAAGCTCCAAGGCTGGGAGGCAGCAGGTGTGGAGGACAAGCTCACTGCTGAGAATCGGTCTGCAGGACCCACCGGAGGATGTCGTGGCTGCGCAGGCCCCGGAGCGCGCTGTCGTAGATGGTGTTCACGCTGGTGCAGAGGGGCTGCTGCTGCAGCTCCGTCACCCGACAGGCGACCAGCCCGCCAGCCACACACAGCAGCAGCAGCAGCAGCAGCAGCCTCAGCACAGCCCAGGAGCGAGTGTGTTTCCGGGGTGGTGGCTTCCGGGGCCGAGAGCCGGACTTAGATTCTGGAGGGACAAAGTCACAGTAGGCAAAAAGTCCAGTCAGTTTAAGGACGCACACCCTGCAGTCGATGCCAGTCTCCGTGCGCGTCCACTCACACCCCTCTGCTCTGATGAAAACTCCCCCGGCCCTGAGGAGAACACGTTTTCTAGACCATCTGAGCTCTTGAAAACTTTGCTATGCAGAGGCTGAAACATGAACTCTTTCTCCCTTGGATCTCAGGGAGTAGATTCAAAACCGGATCTCATTCTGGATGTTTCACTTAGCACACAGTCCCCAGGGTCCTAAGTTCTCCATAACATGCTGGTGATCCGGGCCCCTTAGCACCAAGGGGAGGGGCTCATCAGGAGGCATCAAGCGTGGGTAGAGTGCTGCCCATTTGGGGAAACAGGTTCAAAATTTATGAATATTGTTAATGTTTTTATTATAAAAAGAAAGCCTGAAAGAAAGTATACCATATTGGTAACAGTGATTAATGCTGGGAACAGGGGATTACAGGTGATTGCCATTTTCCGATATATATAAAGAAATTGTCTGCAGTGAATATAATTATTGAAGAAAAAACGGTTATGAGATTTTTAGGCAAATTTTTAAAAAACCTGACTGAACACCCACATTCCAAGAACTACATGATCCTGTCATAGGTTTTTATCACTTAATCCTATCAGTAATCTGTAAGGAGGTATGATCCTCATTTACACAAGGCAACAGAAAGGTGGTGAGGTTGGGCAACTTGCTCAAGGCTAGCAGGGGCAAGCAGGGACAGGCCCTGCAGGCCTCCCTCCCCACAGAGCTTCCCTGCTCAGGTTCCTCTCCCTCAGGTGTCCCTTCTGGCCCAGAGGATATACGGTCCTCCCTTATACATCGAGTCACATTGCTACACAAATCCAACGGGACATATTCAGGCAAAACACCAACGTGTTTTATATACGACATGGCTCCCCAAATGCAGGCCAAGTGATTCCCCTGGTGTTCACCAAACAGAGTGATCGGGTCCAACTGGGGAAGAAAATCACAGGCAGCGCTGGCACCACTGAGACGGCACCACACACTCAAAAGCTCAGTCCACTTCCTGGATGACGCCAGGGGCTTTTAAGAGTAATGTGACCATATGCAATCTTCACCTTTCTGGGTGATTTTAGAATCTAACCCTTACAAAAAGTGCAACTCCCTGTTCTGGAAACGTTCTAAGCTACATCTGACCCAAATACCTGCACATAAGCATGTGACACTGGGGAAACAAACCACTCGGGGCAGTAGGAGGGTCTCCATTCCCCGTAAGTGGACCCTCTGAGTTACTCCCAGGCCTTAGAGTATGCTGTACCTGACAAGGTCTGCAAGCCTGTTCGCTCACTCGCTCGCTCACTCACTCAGCCATGCCTGGAAACCTAAGCCATGTCCCCACCACACCCCTCCTGGAACCCTGCAACTGAGAGAAAAACCTACTCGGGGCCTGATTTGCTTCCTTCTTAGGTTTCTTCTCCTGTTCCCGCTTGGCTGCTTTGAGGGCGTCATACTCCTTCCTCCGGCGCTCCTTCTCTTCCGCCTTCTCCCGCTTCCGCAGTTCCCGCTCCTGAGCCTCCTTAGCTCGCTGCTTGGCCTCCCACTTCTTCTCGGCCTCTATGAGAAAGTATACCCAAAAGTGGCTTCTCTCCCACAAACTTCCAGTGTGCTTTCTCAAGTGATTATGGAGTCAGGCTCCCTTCCCTTATGCTGTGGATCACATAAGATACGTCAAAAAGCAGCAGCTGTCTTTCTGCTCTCTGGAAGTAAGCCCTCCCTAAAATACACTAAGCTGCTCTCAGGGTTTGCTCGGTGGATTCTTACTCAGGGACTCCCAGCCACAAGCAGCAGAGACTAGGGTGACGTAACAAGGGTGGGGGGCATAAGAAAGGCATGGGTGATGAGTCTGGTGCTCCTTTAGAATTAGGTACTAATTCAGAAGACACAGCCACTGACAGCCTTGCACAACTCAACTATGAGGAGAGGAAACAAGGGAGGTGTTGATTCTATGGGAGTCCCATCTTCCCAAGCTTCGGAAAGGAATGTGGCATGGGGAGGGCAGGAAGAAAAAGGGAGCGCTCAGGTTCAAGGTTAGAGAAGATGGAAATGTTTTCCTGAAAAAACAAGACTACTAGTTTGTCAGAGGGTACCCTAGACTTCAACTCAGGAGTCTATGTAACATTCCGATTTATTCCACAGCTCAAGTATGTTCACATACAGCACCCAGCTTACAAATTACTGGTTTCTAAAAATGCATTCCCAAATTATTTGGAAGACTGAAGCACATTTTTCCAAAGCCAGAATGCCACAAATGGTGGTTGAATGTCCTTTTAGGGCTCAAAAGCCTATTTGAACTATCATGGAGCTGAATAGTACTATTCTTATCACTGTAGCTTTCCACTGCTTTTCTACATACAAACAAGCTCCAAGTTCCAGCTGAGCACCAAGAATGCCAAGAACACACTCTGCCCAGCCTCAAGAGAACATGTGCCATCCAGAGGCGAAAGCAGCAGTGGTCACAGTAAACATGGGCAGTACAGCGGCCATGCGTGTACAAGGAACGGTCACAACTCAGGGGTTCCAATCTCAGGGGCCGCCTGTAACCAGTACTACACATGTCCCTCTAACCACGGGAGTCCTCCAGCAAGCGGGCTCAGAAGTCAGCCGGCTCGTCAACAGAGCACCTACTGTGTGCCGGGCCTTGTTCCAAGTGCTCGGGTACAGCAGTGAAGAAAAGTCAAGCTCTACTGCCTAAGTCATCTGCTTTCTACAGAAGGAGACAAACAATAAACAAGTGAACATATAGGGGAAAAGACAGTGATATGTGCCATAAAGGAAATAACTGAGGATGTGACAGAGAGTGGCAGGTGGGTTGGCTCTTCTCGTTTGAGTGGTTCTGAAACGGTTAAGGTTAACCTAGGGCAACAGATGAGGACCACATGAAGCCAGTAGGCAGCCAGTAGGCAGCCACGTAAAGACCTGAGGGAAAAGGAAACCAACAAAGCCCTTAAGATGAGACTGTTCTTGGTGTGTCCAAGCAACAGCAGAGGATCGTGTGGCTGACGGTAACTGCACTCTCTCCCTGGTGTGTGGAACGAGGCCGGAGAAGCAAGCAGGCCTGGGTCATGGCGGGCTTTGTTGGCCATGTTACTGAGTTTGAATTTCATTCTAAGTTCAGTTGGAAGCCGTGAGAGGGTTTTAAGCAAATAGCAGCAGAAGTGATTTGTGTTTTGAAAAGATCTCCCTGGCTGCTGTGTGGAGAAGGCACAAGTATGGAGCCAGGACATGGTGCTAGGAGGTACTGTGGCAGTCCACCGGCTGCAGGCTTGACTGCGGTGGTGGCACTGGAGTTGCCACTGCTGATAGACTAGACGTGGGAGTAACAGAAGAAAGCAATCACGGACATCTTCCCAATTTCAGGCTTGAATAACTAAAGGGATGGTGATTTCCCATTATGGGGGGACACCACAAGGTGCTGAAGGGGATCTGGTTAGGCATGTTTAATTTGAGATACTTATTAACCCTCCAAGCAGACAGAAAGATAAGCAGTTGACTATGACTGTGGGGCTCAGTGGAGAAGCCAGGACTGGAGAGATGCTGCCATCTACCACCACGCTGTTCCCCACTGCTCTGCACGGCTCCTATCCTGGATCCTAGCTCCTCAAGCATGAGGCGGGTGGCCACCTACCTCGGTCTATTTCCAGCCGCCGCTGCCTCTCTCGCTCCTGATCCACCTGCACAGCCTTCATGTGCTGTAACACCTGCAAAGGGAGAGGAGGGTGCTGAAGTACTCCCCGCAGTTGTCTTCACTGCGGAGAGTCTCAGAAAAGAGACTGTTCTTTCCAGAGGCCCTGGAAGCTGTGCATAGCTAACGGAGTTAACCTTATCCCGTGTCCTCACTGCACCGACCTTAGCCAGAGAAGAGCCATATAAGCCCAGTTCACTAAAGCGGTCAGGAAAGAAGTCTGTGAAACACAATGCCAACTGGGATCTAAAAAGTCCTGCCATTCACAATCGCTTCATGTAATTCTCCCAGCAACTTTTGTGTTAAACAGGGACAGCACTTCCTCTAAGACACTTTCCTGACCTCTTTTGGCTGCCTCAGGCTCCCCTCCTCCCACTGGTGGGAGTTTTCTTATCCATCTCAACCCTAGACTGTAAGCTCCCTAAGGGTCAGGGACTACTGTCCTTAGCTCTGCAGGTGCGCACAGCGTTTAGCTAGTTATAGCACTCGATACAGGTGTGATGAGCAACTGACCGGATGCCCATTGTAAAAATAAGGAAGAAAACCCAGGCTCTGATGTCACACGGCTAGAAAGTAGCATAGCTGAGAGTGTACGTCTGCTGAGTTCCTAGGCCAGAGCTTGTCCCTCTTACGTATAGTGCACAGAGGCAGGAGAGCTGTAAGAGAAAGGCATTTTATGAGCTCAATGAACACTGTTGCTTGACTGCATTAATAAGAGAAGAAAAGCTCAAGTATTCTAAATGAAGACAGCAAATTGTCTTAATTTTCTGTTTCGCTACTGCACTAGACAACCTGCAGGACAGACATGTATTCAAATGTAATTATTTTACTTCATGGCAACTTCAGACATGCCCACATCTATCATAAGAGGGACACAGGAGCAGGTCTGCAAAAGCCACTCCCTCCAAGAGCCTGGCTTAAAGCCACAAGGAACCCTGTCCCGAGTAACCCAGGACCTGCACCAGCTGGCACCTCTCCAGAGGAGTCAAGCTTACTGAAAAATGGCCGCTCAACAAGGGGCTGCAGGATCTGGAGGAAGGTCAGGCATGATGTGGAGAGGGGGCCCGAGTTCAAAGTCCCTGTCTCACCCTGAACTCTGAATTTTATATAAGCACCAACCATTCAGTTGTCTTTAGGGGGTAAAAACCGGCTAAATAAAGAACCTGGACGTTTAAGGGCCGCCCCTTTTACCTTGGCTACAATACGTCCGGAGTTAGTTACCTGACAACACAGCCCAGTCCGAGATGGGAGAGGCTCTGCTAGAGCCTCTGCAGGGTTGCTGTTGTCTACCTATCCCCGCCCACGGCAGGTAGGAAGCACCCGATGACTACCGTTGAACTAACAAGTTAGTTTTAAAAGGTGCCTCACTATGTGCCAAGCTCACTAGTTACTATGCACCCACAAGGTCAGAACTGACGAGACCTAAAATAACTCCTGGAGACAAGCGACCTCCTTCTGACGCCACTCCTGTACGTGCCTAAAGGTGTGTGCAGGAGAGGGCAGCGGTGCCGGAGCATGGCTTCTCACCACGTCCCCAACGCACCGTGCTCCCCAGAGCCTTGTCTGGAAAGTATCTGTGAATACTAAAGATCTTTACACTCAACAAAAGTTATTTTTGTAGGTCAAAAACTGGAATATCAGCAACTTTGGTTTAATATAGTATTAGTTGAATGAATAAATGGATAAATGAAAGGTGTTGCATACTGAGGGTTTCTCGGGTCAGACATACAGAAGTAACACCTACTTCCCAGGTTCATGAGGGTTATGAGATGAAACATGCAAAGCAGGCACAACAGAGGAAGAGCAGTCAATGGTAGCTATTGTTAGTCTTCAGAACAGACAACATTCTTAAAGCACCAAGTTTTTAGAACAGGATTCACAGATCACTTGTACTGCTCCCAGCTGAGGGCAAGCTGTTGCCTTGGCTTCTTGGATGCACTGATGTTGTGCTTGGTTTCTTGTAACAATGGGTGACACAGAGGATGAGACTATCTGAGAAGCCCTGAGCTAATGATACGAAAAGAAAGGCCATTACTCCCGAGATTCACAGAGACCCATCATACACACATTTCGCTTACATTAATCTAGCATTTAAAGTTAACTCTTTTGTGTTCACAACGCCCCCTAAACATAGCCAGGTAAGTCATCTGGTGCTCAGCTGAAGCAGCAGCAATCTGTTCTAAAGCTGGAGGGAAAAAATGACTGTAGCTAGAGTTTTTGAGAGATGCGCACAGTGCTGTTCTTAAGAAACAATGCAAAGCACCTTCAAGGTTATTGGCAATATTTGCCTTCCGGGCTGACAGTTAGTTCCTTCCTCCTGTCAGATGACTCAACTGAAGTCAAATGCCAGATGTGCCCAGGATGTGCCTGTTTACAGGTATAAACTTACAAATACTAACAACACCTTTATTATCAAAATTCAATAACTGACTCAGAAAGGCTACAGTGCCTAACCCTCTTGTTCCATATAAACAACTGTCAACAGTGCAGTGTTGGATCATGCAAGGTCCTGATTTCTAGGAACAGAAGTACTGCAGTAGAGCAGAAGACAGTATTGTTCTACTGCTTGTAAAGAGAGAGACAAAGGTGCCTTTGCCTGTCAGGTTCAGAGTAGACATTTTCAGAGACCTTCATGCTTTAAAAGACACAGCTATTTGGGGCTTCCCTGGTGGCGCAGTGGTTGAGAATCTGCCTGCTAATGCAGGAGACACGGGTTCAAGCCGTGGTCTGGGAGGATCCCACATGCCACAGAGCAACTAGGCCCGTGAGCCACAACTACTGAGCCTGCGCGTCTGGAGCCTGTGCTCCGCAACAAGAGAGGCCACGATAGTGAGAGGCCTGCGCACCGCGATGAAGAGTGGCCCTCGCTTGCCACAACTAGAGAAAGCCCACGCACAGAAACGAAGACCCAACACAGCAAAACTAAATTAATTAATTAATAAACTCGTACCCCCAACATCTTCTTTAAAAAAAAACAAAACACACAGCTATGGGTGCCCTGGGAGGGGAAAACAGGAGGCGACAGAGGCAAGTCCCAGGGGAATGTATGAAGGAGCCACTGGGGAGCCTCGTGCTTACCTTGTTGGCACACTGCTTACACTGCTTCTCATCCAAGCAATCCCCTGCCACCTTGGCCAGGACAGGATCCAGGGGGTTATCCTTCAGGTCCAGCCACTTCAGACTCTAAACAGATGGGGCAGAGAGTCTGGTAAGCCCGAGTTCACATAAAGAGCCCCTCAAAGTGGAACGAAATGAGCAGAAAGAAAGCCCTTCTCTGTTCCGGCCGCAGGGAAAGCCGTCTGAGGCTGTGACAACAAGGTGGTATTCCTCTCGGCCTCTCTCACAGCCACACTCCCTCAGTCCCCGAGGCCCCTGCCGCACCTGGCCATGAAACATTGCGTCATGAATTGTTACCTTGAGCTGAGCAAAGCTGACAGGCAGGGTGACCAGCCTGTTGTTGAGGAGGTCCAGGTGCTGGAGGTTGACCAGGCGGCCAAAGTCTGCTGGTAGCTGCCGCAGTTTGTTCTTACTCAGGTCCAGCTTCACCAGGTGTGTGAGGCCACAGAAATCCGACTAGGACCCAAAGAGAGAAGACCTTGGCCTCGGGCTCACACACTGTGACGTAACAGTCCAGGAGGCCCTGAGTCAGAGGCACCTATGCGCAAATCCTGACTCTACCTTTTACTAGCTGCTCCAGCTCGAATGAAAATGGAGATAGCAGGCATAGCTCCTGGTGGTGAGCCGTGAGCCATGTGTGCAAAAGGGCTTAGCCCTTTTTAGTGGTAGCCTGCCTGCAGGCCTATCCTGAAATTATGCCTTATGACACAACTCCCCCAGACAGGAAGGAGAAGCAGCAGGGCTCTAGAAGGAATCATGCTTGCTTGCCAGTCTTACCGGTAGAGCAGTCAGTTTATTGCAGGACAGATCCAGTATGGTGGCCTTTGGGAGGGCAGCCTAGGAAAGGGAATGAGAACAAAATGTCAGATCAACACATGGAACAATTCAGTGACATCTGCTAATGAAGCATTTTCCACAGAAAGTTCCCATGATTAGAAAAGGCCTTTAACATGGACATATATACACTACCAAATGTAAAATAGCTAGCTAGTGGGAAGCAGCTGCATAGCACAGGGAGATCAATTCGGTGCTTTGTGACCACCTAGAGGGGTGGGATAGGGAGGATGGCAGGGAGATGCAAGAGGGAGGAGATATGGGGATATATGTATACGTATAGCTGATTCACTTTGTTATAAAGCAGAAACTAACACACCATTGTAAAGCAATTATACTCCAATAAAGATGTTAAAAATTTTTTTTTCAACAAAGGAAAAAAAAAAGGCCTTTAAAAACAAAAAATAGCACTGAAGTATAATGTTCCTGGAGACACGAAAGGAAAAATGAGCCAGTCACCCACGACCTAGAGAAGAATGCACAGTAGGGATTTGGCTGGGGAACATCCAAGGAAAAAAGACCAGATTCTCAGAAATTCTCCATAGCGCTTTTAAGATTCTCTCTAGCACTGCTCCTTATTAGGTTTCAGGGCAGGGACTGTGTCTAATATAGCTCTGTGATTTCCATATTCTCCAGTTCAGGGTCTTCCAGGCACTCAATATACCCGTTGGCTGATTCGTACCTGAATGAATGAGTGAATGCAGAGTGAAATCAAGGCCCTCACAACCCAGCTCCGTTTTCCCATGGGGTTTGGGATGGACAGGCTCAGCAAAACTGACCCTTCCATTCTCCCAGGGGCAATGCTGCACCAACCGGAGGCCTGGAGTAAAAGGTTTCGGACAGCAGTTCTAGGGCCAGGCTGAAACATGGGGCGGGGAAGAAGGCAAATATTCAGTTAAGGACACTGGGCCAACGTGGACTTTCCAAATGTCAAAGTCCCAAGCATGAAGTTTGACCACCTAAAGAAGTTTGAGATATCACAGTGGGAAGCACACCGTGGTAATAGTTACATGCATCAACATTTGCTACCTGCCAAGTATTTTACATTACAGTCTTATTTAATTCTCCCAACAACCCTATGCGATGGGAATAATTATCACCATTTTATACATGAGGAAATCTAGGCTTAAAGGAGAACTAAGCTTGCCAAGGGCACTCAGCTATTAAGCAATGAAGCTGATATATGAACTGGGACTCCCATTCTAACCTCCATACTACACAGCCAAGGCAGAGGGAAGGCTGGGCCAAGTGCCAAACGCAAATATAATTTGTTAAAGGCAGTGAGGAAAGTGCAGGTCATCCAAAGGGAGGCTACTGTGGGGGATGCGGGTGGGGAACCAGGTGGGCAAAGCAGGGATGTACCATCTAACTCCACTTTGGCAACAAACTAGTCTTGTAACGTCCCTGGGGCCTCAGGCTTGTTTCCCCGGTTGGGGGTACGGGAGTAGGCGGGTGGAGGGGTGGGCCACGATGGTGCGGATTCCCACCAGTTTCAGAGTTGGGAAGAGATTTTGCCAACCAAGCAGTGAGATGTCACATTCTTCAAGGAAGCATGCCTCAGGGCTGGGGCAGCCAGCTGGGATTTCTGGCTTCCAAGAAAAGCCAGGTCTGGGCCACACCCAGGTCTAACCGGAGGCCTACTTGCACCAAGTCATTCATTCATCTGTTCATTCATTCTCCGAATACATCCAGCAATCGCGCTCTGAGGGCTCCTACTTTAGGTCGGGCAAGGAGCTGAGCGCTGCGAAAGCCCCTGAAATGGGGGCGGGGGGGGGGAGATTCACTCCTGACCCGTAAAAAGCCCATAGCCAGACAAGCAGCTCCTTCCCATCTTCTGGAACTGTGCCAAAGTGACACGTGTACATCCCAGGAAGAAAACTGGGGCCGGACGCAGCCTCCCCCGGGGAGTTAGTCCCACTCCCCCCACCTCATTTTAAGCCATGGAGACTGAGACATGCGAAAGAAGGCGACCAACGCAGGGGCCAGCGCCAGTCGCGGGTGGGCGCCTGGGCCTCGCGGGACTGTACTGACCAACTCCTTGACCGGGACCTCATTCAGGTCGCTGAGGCTCAGATCCAGCTCGTGGCCGTCCAGCTTGTCGCGGAGGTTCCCGCCCTTGCTACCGGCCTTGGTCATGGTGACGCCGGCTAAACGAGTCCCGGCTCCGACGGGCAAGAGAAGGGCTGAGAAGCCGCTCGTCGGCTCAGCGGACTCGCACCCAACCTACAAAGCCTGCGTCCCCGGCCGCCGCAGGTGCGAGACCGCCGCCGCCCGTCCGCCCGCCCTCTGAGCCCTGCGCCCCGTTCCCACCGGTGCAGCCACGACGACGACCACTTCCGTGTCCACGTCACCTTCCGCGGCCACTGAGACGGGCTGGGCCAGAGCGGCCTGAGCGTGTGCGGGAGCGCCCTCTGTCGCCCGCCACCGCCGGGAGCGTGAGGTTCCGGCTCCGAGTTCAGTCGCCAGCCGAGCAGCTGTGTTCCCTGGTGCTGGGAGAGCACGCCCGCGGGCAGTCGTCGCTGGCAGCGCCAGGAGGCGAAAAGACTGGGGGCCAGAAGACCTGGGCTCCATCCAAAACTGACCTCATCAGATCTCCCCCATCCCCCTGGATTAGCAGCCGAAACTGGGTGTCCTTCAAAATTGCTCTCTGTCCTCTAACAATCCCCAAACCATCATGATCCGGAAAACTTTGCCTCTCTCTCTCATCTCCTCCTCACTGCCCCAAGCCCTGGTCCAGGCGACCATCAGCTTGAGCTTGGATTACTATTCTGAGTCTCTCTCCCTTCCATCCACCTCCACCCAGCTGCCCAGATGATCTTTCTAAAAATCTAGCCAAGTCTCTCCTCTGCTTAAAATCCTTCAAATAACTACCTGTAGGATATGGACCACTCTCTTTTCTACACTGAGCCCTGCGTGCTCCTGCAGCCTCCTGACCAGCCCCTGCCTGGGATGCTGTGGAGGCTTCCAGTAGGTGGCCTCCAAACCTTTCCCTCTCCTGAAATGGCCCTGCCTTCTCCACTCACCTTCTCTGCCTAGCTAATTACTAGTCCTTCAGGAAAATTTCCCTGAGGTTTATGAATCCTTAAGCAATCACCATGCTTCATCTATGGATACAGGAGAAACGCGCATAACAATGGTACCTGGCTGATAGAGTTTGGGGAGGATGGAAGGAGTAAAACACATGTAGAGCTTACAGCAGTGTCTGGCACTTAGTAAGTACCCAATAAATACTAGCTGTCACTTATAATCCACCTTGTGTTATACTTACCTTTATGTCTCTTTCCTCCATTCTACGTTGTGATGGCAGAGATTTCGTTTTTGTATCCTCAGAATCTGATGCAGGGTAGTTGCTCATTCAGGGGTCTGTTGAATGAATGAATGAGGCACTTTACCCACTCCAAGCTTCAGTTTGCTTATCTTTGAAATGGGGATATTAAAACTTCTCTCAGAGGGGAATTATGAAGACCAAAAGAAGTCAGTGCCCTGGCCTACTCATTTAACAAATCATTGTGTGCACCCCTCCCCATCCCCAGCAAGGCACTGTGCTCCAGGCTTCTGGGAAATAGACAAGAGCAATTGGGTAACAATACATTAGCACTTGGCAATCTCTAAAGCCCTTGAGCATCCTTTTTTTTTTAACATCTTTATTGGAGTATAATTGCTTTACAATGGTGTGTTAGTTTCTGCTTTATAACAAAGTGAATCAGCTATACATATACACCAGTCTTATTCTGATAATGTATTGATACATGAAGAAACTATGAAGCACATTTTTTTGTTATCTCTCTTTTATGAAGGAAGAAACTCAGGGAGAAGTAAACATGACCTTAGTCACACAGCTGGTTGAGGGGAAGACCCAAATTTTTTATTCCAAATCCTGTTTCTTTTCACTACACCCTATTTCCCTACCCCCACCCCAGGAACCTACACACATAATTATTATAGAAGGTAGAAAGAATAAGGGTCCTAACACATACAGAGAAAATGTGCGTGTGAATGTGCAGGGCTGTGCGGGTGTACATTTGAGTGTGATAACACCAGACTAACATATGTAAAAGCGTCCTGTGTGCCTAGGACTGTGACTTACGTATATTATTTCTTTTAACTCATAACAGCCAGATATAAAAGGCAGATATTATTTCAGTTTTAGAAGGGAAGTAATTAAGGCTCAGAGAAGTCAACTATTTATCTCTTTAAGGACAGTCACAGCAAGTGAGTGTATTTGGAAGAAGGTGGGTCATACCCAGCATAGCAGGGAGAAGCCTGGGAAGAAGGAAGAAATCAGAAAAGGCTCCATGGAGGAAGTGGCATTTAAGTTGGGCTTTGAAGAATGGGTCAGATGGAGCTTCCCTGGTGGCGCAGTGGTTGGGAGTCTGCCTGCTGGTGCAGGGGACGCGGGTTCGTGCCCTGGTCTGGGAGGATCCCACATACCACAGAGCGACTGGGCCTGTGAGCCACAGCTGCTGAGCCTGCGCGTCTGGAGCCTGTGCTCCGCAGTGAGAGGCCCGTGCACCGCGGTGAAGAGTGGCCCCCGCTTGCTGCAACTGGAGAAAGCCCTCGCACAGAAACGAAGACCCAACACAGTCAAAAATTAATAAATAAATAAATTAAAAAAAAAAAAAGAACGGGTCAGATTCAGACAGGCAGAGATGCAGCCCAGGGAAGCAGGGCAGCAGAGTGAGGAATTGACAGCAGCTCTTCACTTTGAGAAAGATTTTTTCACTCCCTGAGGCTGGAAAACCACAACTTCATGAGAAAGTGAAGCCCGTTATCTGTTGACAGCTTTTTGCTCAGGAACGATAGACTAGCCCTGCGCTGCAGCTCCTCAAACGAAGTGCCACCTTGTGTCAGGATACTGAGGTTGTTTGAGCAGCTGCCAAAGAGAACACAGGTAGCATAGCCCTTGAGAAGACAAAGCTCAGGACCAGGACAGGAGGCAGCAGCTTCCTGGAAAAACCTTGGGCATCAGGCCAGCGCTGCCACTGCTAGGTCCAGTGCGATCCTGGCAAGTTGATCCAGCACTCCAAGCTTCTGTTTCGCCTTCTGTCGAATGGGGATAATAAAATGGGAAAGTGTGTCAAGGACCCACGGAGAGATACATGCAGGAAAGAGCTGAATGGCACCATGCAGTGACGTCAACCTTTCTGAGGGCAGTTGGCCCCTTTCATGCTTCAACCCACAGCCAGAGGTGGACTGAAAAAAAGTCAGACTCAGAGAGCCTCTGAAAAAGGCCCCAAAGAGCTTTTTAAGGCACATGATCTCTGTATATATAGCTTACTTATTTACATAGATTTGCTTTAAATACTTCCACATGTAGAGAGATAAACCATGTTCCTATAAATGAGTCCGTCCCAAAGTGAACTTCAAATTTAAAGTAATTGCAATTAGAAATCCCAAAAAGATTTTTTATTTATTTTTTTTTTACGGTACGCGGGCCTCTCACTGTTGTGGCCTCTCCCATTGCGGAGCACAGGCTCCGGACGCGCAGGCTCAGCGGCCACGGCTCACGGGCCCAGCCGCTCCGCAGTATGTGGGGTCTTCCCGGACCAGGGCACAAATCCGTGTCCCCTGCATCGGCAGGCGGACTCTCAACCACTGCGCCACCAGGGAAGCCCCCCAAAAGATTTTTGTTTTGTTTTTAGAACTAGGTAAAAGTGATCTTAAAATGCATATAAGATGGAAAAAATCTAATTCATATGGGAGGGTAAGTGTATGAGAATTGCCAAGAACACTTAATGAAATTAAAAAATAACCATGAGGGGGGCTATTGTCACCATGAGTATAGCATTGTCATGGGCAGTTATCAATGGAACAACATAGAGAGTGTGGAAACAGATACAAACTTACAGGAGTCCTTAATATGTAATTAACATTGTATTTAAAGTCAAATCCATCAAAAGGGGAGTAGTTGAACAAATTAGAATGTATTTACACAATGGAACCTCACTGTGGCACATGATGCAGCCATTAAAGAGAATTCATAGAACTACACGTATTGACCTGGAAAAAAAATGTTTGTTGTATACGCTCAAGCAAAAAATGCAAGTCACTGAGTAAGATGCATGGCATGATCTCAGTTTTAAAAAATTTAAAACTTTGACCTTATTTCAGACTTAAAAGTTGCAAGGATAGAAGGAAGAATTCCTGGATACCCTTCACACAAATTTCCCAACTGTTAACATTTTACTACAGAAATATACACATATTTCTGAACTATTTAAGAGTATGTTGCAGACATGATATCCCTTCATCCATAAATACAACAGTGTGTCTCTCCCAAGTACAAGTAAAACTCTTATATAACTGCAGGATAGTTATAAAAATCAACAAGTTAATACTGATCAATACTATTATCAATCTATGGACCGTATTCAGATTTCATAAATTTTCCAGGATGATTTCATGTTTTGGAAAAAATACATAAAGGGAGAGGTGAAGAAACATTTACATATGTCTACACGTGTATAAGAGCTTGGGAAAGGTATGGAATACCCACACTTTTAATCTTGCTTACCTTGAACATCGGTTACAAGGCACATGTATTATAAATTTGTAATAAATTATAATGTAGAAAAGTTTAATATAAATAAATAAACAATGAATGAATGAATGAATAAAATCACCGTAGGTTGGATATAACTTGAGATCAAGTCCTGGTTCTGCCAACTTTGGACACATCACAGAATCTCTCCAATCCTGGATTTCCTCAATCATAAATTTCCACCTATAGAGGAAGCTATATTTTGAATAAGGATTAAATGGGAAAAAATACACAAAGTTCTCAGTCCCTAGAAGTCACTTTAAAAAATAATTCCTGTAAAACCAATCAACCCTTGTATGTTTCCACCTCCTCCTCTTTGTTCATGCCATTCAGCTTAGAATGCCCTTTCCTCCCTCTCCACTGTCACCATCCTTTTCATCCTTCAAGGCACAGTCTAGATGCCACCTCCTCCAGAAATAC